ACGGGAGAAGCGTCCATGCCTGTCGCAACGAGTCAACCCGGCTCTAGTAAGCCTTGCTACTTTCGCGTTCTGGTCGCCTTGCGCAAGTCATCGCTAACAGAATCTTTCAGTTCCTGAATCGTCGCCTCAGGTTCATGTCACCGGTACCGATGCGTCGCCTACGTCCAATTCGTTAGAGTCCTCCGGGACGGCTCCGGCTCCCGTAGAAACGACTACGATTCCCGAAGGCGCCTCTGCCGCTAGTTCTGCTGATGTATCCAAGAAACAGCATCTACTTCCTGTGCCGTCACGGACGTCCTTGAAAGCCGAAAGACAATCCACGTTAGACAACTCTCAGGATACTGCCAATGACGACTCTGAAAACACACTCCGAGGCTCTAGGAGAAGTATTCTAAAGGGGCGAAGGGACAGGAGCAAAGGGAGCAGCATGAGGTCACAGCGGAGGAATGAGGAGAGCGCGGCTATGGAAGAGAATAAAACGGATCCTGACTTGCGAGAGCCTGCCAAGGTGGAAAAGAAGAGCAGGGTGTCATCCCGGTTGTTTGCATTTTTGAGCTGTTGCTCGTCTTCCAACATCGATCCCGAAGATACGGCCATCCCCGCGAAGAGGACAACTCGCCGATCATCAGTCCCAAGTACTCAGCCTACTCCGGAAAAGGCTGAAACTCACCAGGGTGATTCGAGCACTGCAGAGTCCAAAGAGCCGAGCTACTATCGAGACGAGAAGGCAAATACAACAGTGACATCCGACCAGCCGCCGTCGCAGGTGGACGAAGAGCAGACCGTCAGTGGCCCGGATCAAGGCTCGCAGCTTGATGGCACGGTGTCGTCTCCGGCCCAACCTGAATCGGGCCACGAGGCTCCTTCGCAGAAGGAGAAGTCTGAAGGACGGGATATAGTGGCAGCACAGCACGAACCCAGTGCAGTTCCGCTGCGCACTGTAACGGAGAAGGTGGAAGAGCCCTCTCAGAAACCTGAGGAACATGTAACGTTCTCAGTGCCACCGCAGAGAGTCGATGATTCTCCTGCCCAGACGGATGAGTCCACCGCAAAGCCAGCTGTACCCGATAGCGTTGGCCCGAAGGACGAGAAGTACTCTACGCACGAAGAAGAGGCAATTGATCTACCAGCTGAGCTACCGCCACCACCGCCACTCGTTTCTCCAGGGCAACAGGCAGAAAATGAGAGTCACGACAGGGAGCAACAATGGCTGTTGCCTCCACCTCAACCTCACCTACGCGACCGGAAATGCCTGGTCCTTGACCTGGATGAAACCTTGGTCCATAGTAGTTTTAAGGTTCTCGAGCGCGCCGATTTCACCATCCCCGTGGAGATTGAGGGTCAATACCATAATATCTATGTGATCAAGCGGCCCGGAGTCGATCAGTTCATGAAACGGGTTGGGGAGCTGTACGAAGTTGTTGTGTTTACGGCATCTGTCTCGAAGGTGAGTCCTGTTGACATATATCTCTGCAATCGCCTCACGCTAACCTGTTCTCAGTACGGAGATCCATTGTTGGACCAGTTGGACATCCACAATGTTGTCCACCACCGACTTTTTAGGGACAGTTGCTACAACCACCAAGGCAACTACGTAAAGGTCGGTCTTCTTGTGAGCGTCACATTGCTCGTTCAACTCATCTGACTCTTGCATAGGATCTTTCTCAAGTTGGTCGTGACCTCCGAGACACGATAATTATCGATAATTCTCCTACGTCTTATATATTCCACCCTCAACATGCGATACCCATCAGCAGCTGGTTCTCTGACGCCCATGATAATGAGCTTCTTGATCTGATTCCCGTCCTGGAAGATCTCGCTGGTACACAAGTGCAAGACGTTAGTCTGGTTCTTGACATTGCATTGTAATGTCTGTACACTAGCCCGGCATTTCATTTACAGCGTGCTTGGTTTGGTTATTCTTCGCCTTGCGGGCACCATCAGGTCATAGAAAAGATAAAATTCGGTCGATTTCCTTTGTTCAATACCCGCCGATACGTCGAGCCCTCTCTCGCCTTGGAGATGCCAGATGAGAGTTAGAGTGCTTTGTGAGCGAACCGCGCATCTGAAGACGCTCGTGAGACCCGACAGTTCAATAGTGCATGTGTGCTTTTTTATCTGCGTTGTGTTTCTTTTCCTTTCCTCTGTTTCTTAAACCCTTTTGCTGTTTGCATCTGCTGGACTTCTAGCCATGTCCTTCTGTTTAGCTCCAAGTGAGCAAATACTTTTCTGACTCCCTGTGGTTTTGATCCATTTCCCTTGAAATCCCCCTGTGATCCCCCCCTTTTTTTTGCATTCTGTAGGCGTCTGTCTTGGCCATCAGCTTAAAACCCTTTTTCGCTGATCTCATGTATACGCAAATTTACATTCCCTTTTTATCTGACTTCTTTCTTTTCTCAAATTTTGTCTAAACCTCCATCGCCCTTAAGGGGTCTGACACTGCCGTCGCTCGATTTCCTATCTGTTTTGTTTCGTATCTGTGATCACCACCAAGACCCCAGCGTGTTTTGTCATCTTGTCGGCCATGATTTGTTTTGGAGACCTCCCGAGTGAGTGGCATCGTCATATATGTGTGCGCGTCACTGTTTCCGGTACTACTTCATAGTTTCCCATCGATACAGGATCTTGACTATCGATTGCCACCAATGTATATGTATCATTGGCGTACGTGCTATATGTACATAAAAGCGTCATCCTTCAACCCAGCACCACCTGTTTTAGTAGCCCAAATGGATTTTAATCAAGCATACTGCTGTTCACGGTCAGAGTGTAGAAAGTCGAGAAGTGAATGAAATCGAACCAGCGGGACATGGATAGGTCAATTCCATTCATTAAACGATATGCATAAATGAAAAACAAAAAATGCCGCATTTTGAACCACAATCCTCGGGCAACCGTCTCAGAAGCAGAGAAACCGTCAATTCCGAGCATCAAATCAACCCCTCCCCACTCACTGACCAAGTCGTCGTCGTTCTGATGGGCCCCCTTAATCTATTAACGTCCTTCCTAAATTAGCTACATCGATACCGATCTACAAATTACACGATACGTACTAAAATTACATACATACCGTCATTCGACCCACCGGCCAAAAAAGCTCCCCGCATCAAACCACCTCCAACCACGCCCAGAAAAAAAAAGATATATGAAAGAAAACTAATCTACATACTTGCCCGCCACTATGAAGGATAGCAAAGGGTGGGACGGAAAACTGAGAGTCGGTCCCCAGGCGACCATCACGAATCCGGAGGCAATCGAGGACCCGGATTACTCAGACGAGGATGCGCCGCCGGTGGAGGAGATCGAGGCCGACGAAGGTATTTTGTTTTTTTTTTTGCCGATTACGGTTGTATGGAAGTGGGTGCTTATTGAGATTCTCTTGCTGTAGACTTGCTAGAGGATGAGGATAAGGATACTGAGGTGCGTGGATCTTTTGCATGCGGCGTGAAGCGGAACTGACCGAGTGAGCGGTTTATCTAGGAGATCGACCTCGTCCATTGTCGTATTGCGTCCATCCCTGCTTTACATCTAGAGCGATTCCCTAAAGTACAGGTACGACATCGGGGCTCCGTGAATGAAGGTGGCGGTTGGCGATAATGATTCAGGATTAACGGTGGGGTGGTTTCTAGAGAATATGTCTGCGGCAGAATCAAATATCGCGGATCGCGTTTCCTCCTGAAATCGCCGGGTCGCTGGTCGAGCTCGATCTCTACGATAACCTTATTTCGCATGTCAAGGGTCTGGATGAGTTCAAGGACCTGACTAGTCTGGACCTGAGCTTCAATAAGATCAAGCACATCAAGAATATCTCGCATCTGGTTAAGTTGACGGACTTGTACTTTGTGCAGAACAAGATCTCAAAGATTGAAGGGCTGGAGGGGTTCAAGGTGCTGAGGAATTTGGAGCTGGGGGCTAATCGGATCAGGGTGGGTGCTTGGATTGCGCGAGAATGAATATATGGGAGGGCTTATGCTGACAGGGTGGTAGGAAATCGAGAACCTTGACTCATTGACGTCTCTTGAGGAGCTGTGGCTCGGGAAGAATAAGATCACTGAGTTCAAGGTATGTCGTCTTCCCGCGTGCTGGAGCTTGGGGGAGTTGACGTATTGACATTCTACAGAATCTGGATGCTTTGCAGAATCTCAAAATCCTCTCGATTCAGTCGAACCGCCTTACTAGTCTGAACGGACTCTCCTCCCTCAAAAACCTCGAAGAACTCTACGTTTCTCACAACGCTATTACCGAGCTCAGCGGTCTCGAATCGAACACCAAGCTGCGCGTCCTTGACTTCTCGAATAACCAGGTCTCCAAGCTCGAGCATCTGTCGCATTTGAAGAACCTGGAGGAGCTTTGGGGGTCGAACAACCAGTTATCTAGCTTCGATGAGGTGGAGAAGGAGCTGAAGGATAAGGAGAAGCTACAGACGGTCTACTTCGAGGGCAACCCGTTGCAAACGAAGGGGCCCGCAGTGTACCGGAATAAGGTGCGCTTAGCGATACCGCAGATTATGCAGATCGACGCTAGTAAGTGCAGTCTTCCAGGTTTCCCGGTGTAGGCGTATACTGACAGTCGCAGCGTTCGTGAGAATAGCTTAATTACCATACAAGAACTGGCATGGCTGATGATACAATGGCAATCATGGTTAATGGAAAGCGGATTAGATTCCTATCAATCTCCTATGTTACATGTAGATTAAGAGAAACTGTATGTTCTCTGTGTTCACGGTGTCATACCTTACTAGTGGAGGTATACTCCGAGCCTGCTGGAACCCTGGAAACGATCTACCGATCGTCCATGGCCTGACGGGCACAAACTGGGCATCGCTCAAGAATCGTGCCGGGGAAGCCTCACTATCGGCCTTGAAAGACAGCGACGCCCAACAGGACCACCAGAGCATCCCCATGCGCACACGCACAGGCATATCGCATAGCGCAAGACAGCCAACAACCATCCATATAGACCTCAGCGCATAGAACAGACCACCCAAACCAACCTGACCTTCAATCCACCTCCGTATCCTTACCCTCAACCACCTTCTTCTCCCCAGAATGCGACTCATCCCCCTCCCCCCTCAGCCCGCCCTCATAAAGCGCCATCAAACTCGTAGCCCCCAACCGCTCATTCTCCGCCTGCACCTTCCTCTTAACCCTAAACGGCTCATGACTCTTCCTCGCCATCGGCTCATCCGCCAACTCGCGCAACGGAACCCCCGTCCTCACCAGATCTCTCGACTGCCAACTCTTCCCATTCACACGAAACAGCGTATGGAACGGGTTCCGCCGCAGCGCAGACTCATGGTTATGTCGCGACGGCTGGATGGTACAGGTGATATGAGACTGGGCGGGGGGTTCACTCGAGGCCCAGGGGTCCGGGGAGGGCGTTCCTGGTTCGCGCGGGGGCAGATGCGACTGCGACTGGGGCATGGGTGGCGGTTTGACGAGGGGGATGGTGAGCGGGGAGGCGGCGATGGCTTGCGCTGCGGAGGACGGGGATTCGAAGATGGCGATTATCGATCGGGAGGTGGGGTTTTGGGATGTGTTTGTTGTGTCGTACTTTTCATTGTCTTGTCAGTTACAACTATTGTTTTTGAATTAAGAGTTATATTCAATAGGTGAAGGGTGTATCTATCTATCTACCTTGAGGTTGCGGAAGGTGACGACTTCGCCGAATTTCTGGAGCGCGGTCAGGATTTGTTTGCTTTCTGTTAGGGAGCGCGGCATCGGGGTCGTTGTTATGTGGATTGATTGGGCTGCGAGGCGGGCGGCCATTTTGGGGAGGGGAGGGGGTCTTTTGGTTGCTTTTCTTGTTCTTCTTTTGGTGGGTTGAGGTTGGGGGTTGGATTTGAGGGAGTCGGAGTTGGCGGAAATAATGGATGGATTGGATTGATTGATTGATTGATAGATAGTGTTGATAAGGCAGCTTGGGCTTGGCGTGGGATTTTTAGTTGCGAAAACTTTAACTTAGTTCTCAGGTACTGGAGTATACTTCATACATGTATTGTTTGGAATTCTGGAATTATATCTAGGGTTGGAATTGCTTCGCTATTACTTCTTCTCGGTGGATGTTGGCAATCGTTTGAAAAGATTGTAACATCATCACTCTATCTATCACTACGCCTTATCAGGGTCGCTGAGTACTGCTGATACTGCAGGAGTCATCCACCGGATATAGTTCCATTTTCTTCCCATGGTAGAATACCTACATCCCAAGGAGTAGTCCTATGTTGTGGGAGGGTTTTACGGAGGAATGATGATGACGGCGAGTCGGCCGTTCAGACTAAATCTTTCGGGGCCGAGAAGGCATCTCAAAGCAAGAGAGCCCAAAAGAAGATACGCTTACCATTACTACGCATGTAGATATCATTCATATTCAGGCACTAAACGGTCTTTGCGAATGGGTTATCATAACTATTTACTCAAGTCATCATGTACATTTTATATCGCAGATCATCACACATCTCTCGCGGGCAACGTCCATCTTAGAAGATAGGAACGTACATGCCGTATCCAAGAGGGTCATTGAACCGCAAGCCCTGGTCCAATGAGCTGATGGCCTCCAACTCAGTCTTCTCCAGATCCCACCCAGTGACCTCCAGGTTCAGCGCCAGACGGGTGGGGTTGTTGCTCTTGGGGATGACCGCAATGCCGCGCTGGGTGGCCCAGCGCAGCAGTACCTGAGCCGGGGTCTTGCCATACTTCTCGGCGAGGCTCTTGATGGTGTTGTGCTCGAACAAAGGAGTGGTATTGACGGCATTCTTCACCTCCAACTCGAGGAAGCTCAGAGGTCCAAAAGACGAGTACGCCGTGACGGCGATGCCCTCCTTCTGGGCATACTCGACCAGACGAGGCTGGGTAAGGTAGGGGTGGTGTTCAATCTGGAGGGTAGCGGGACGGACGCGCGCATACCGGAGGAGGTCCATGAGCAGCTGGGCGCTGAAGTTGCTAACGCCGATGCTGCGCGCGAGCTTCTTGTCGACCAGCGACTCCATCGCCGTCCAGGTCTCCTGAATGCTGGCGTTGCTGAATTCGATCTTGCCGCTCTCCGAGTTCCATCCGGGGGGGTAGCGGACAGCCGGGTCAACGTACTTCAGGGCAACGGGGAAGTGCACGATGTACAGGTCGAAGTATTCGACGCCCCAGTCAGCCAGCTGCTTGCGGCAGACGGGCTCGACGCGGTCGCCCTCGTGGAAACTGTTCCACAGCTTGGAAACAATGAAGAGATCCTCGCGCTTGACGATGCCCTCCTTGATGGCGCGGGCGACACCCTGGCCACATTCAACTTCGTTGCCGTAGTCTGGACGACCGTATTAGATTGCCCCCGGAACCCTTCACAGTAGGAGGTGGTAACATACCGCATGCGCCGTCAAAGAGACGGTAACCGGCTTTGATGGCTTCGTAAACCTGATCCGCGCATGTCTCGTTGTTTACCTTCCAGAGGCCAAAACCCACGAGGGGCATGTCAAATCCGCTGTTCAGCTTGACGGTAGGAGGAGCCATTGTGATTATTGTGTGGAGAGATCGCGGTTAACGAGAAGAACGACAGTGTGATTGCAACTGCGAGGAGAGCACAGAAGTGTTAAAGAAGGAGGGGCATCGATCAGCTTTTGGGGATTGCCCCCGCGCATATTCTTCCAAAAAGCCCTCATTTTGGGGTACGGCCATACCCACTCGGGATAAATGCAACATGGCCCATCCAGGCCAGCCGGACCGACAAGGCCAGTCACGCAAGGAGGAATGGAACTGTCTTGAGGCTAAAGTGGAGCTGGACGAGATGCGACAGTACCATTCCGGCTAAATGCGACCCTCCGGGTAAATGCGGACCAGCAAACCCCGTGCTAACCGTCCCGGTTTCACGGGACCCAAATCCCACCAATCACTCAAGGATAAAAGTATCAACTCTGACATTAGAATAGATAGTAAGTATAGATGACTACAGTACACAATTGGTATCAGATTAAAAGTACATCCCAAAGTTGAAACAAAAAATAAAAGTCCAAAACCCCCGGCAGAGCATGCTCCAGCATCCCCCACAAAACTCCGGTGCCAGAAACTAAAATACAAAATCCCGAAACCCAGCGACACTTTTGCTTGCCATTATTATCATTAAGAGACATCCTTCAGTTCGATTATTGATTAGTAATTCTTCGTTATGCGGCCTCGACCGCGTTGTTCTCAGCATAGGTGTGATTAATGTGGCCATGGCCTGCCCCATGGATACTAGGATCACCAGGCATACTCCCCACGATGAGATCGTCTGGGCCCAGCAACGCCTCCAAGTGGTTGTGCGGATGGGATTCCCGTGAGACAGATGGCACATGGTGATCGGGAAACTGCAGGTGGCTATAATTGCTCGAGCCAACATCAGTGATGCTCGAAGTAGGAGTTGGCCAAGGTGCATGACTGTGACTCATGTCATCGATCGATTGAGTGCTGGACCCAAATAGGCCATTGTTCAAAACATGGCTGGTATCAGGCAGGCTCACCCCAGGATGCTGGGGCGTTCCATACTGATTATCATGCCCACTTAGGTTGTACGTATTGAGATTGGTGTGTGAAAGGGACATATCAGGTATGCTAAGCATCCCTGGTCCTCCAGTAGAACCATTGAGACTCGTTGGCTGGCTGACTTCGGGTTGCAGATTGGGGTAGGTGTCTGGCACGGAGGTGACGGCAGTTTTGTCATAAAGGCCACCCTCTGGCTTAGTGAGAGAGTTGAGAAGGTCAAAGCCTCCGCTTGCATTGAATATACTGTCCGGCGGTGGTTGGTACATGGACCATGGAGGTTGCGAAGCACCACTATGATGCACCAAGTCGTGTGACTGCGGGGCTTGGTAAATGCTTGGGGCAGGCCTAGCTAGAGAGTTTGTGTCAAAGGACAAGGGAGGGAGGTCGATCCCCGTTACGGGCTTCGGGCTAGGGATCGCATTACGGTCGGGGGATGGCGGAGTCACCCGGCGCCATGTGGTAGTGCCGACTTCGTTCGGTCGCGTTCGCCGGAATTGCCAAATCAGGATGGCCATTCTTTTGCTTCCATCCGGGGAGTTGTCAGGGTACTGGTTCGATACCCGACGAGAACTAGGAGTAGCCCGTATTTCTTGGACTGCCGTCAAGGTACGGAAGTAGTCTCTCATTTGTCTATCAGCAGCCTCGTTGCCCTGCGTGCCTTGGGTGAGCTCCGTGAGTTCCGTAAAACGTTTTGCCCACCACGAAGATTCAAATGGAGGTTTCACTTTGTTCGACTGCTGTCTAGGAAGGTTGCGGCGTTCCTTGAATATGTTGTGACCTTCCTCGTAGATATACGTGTTGCACGACCAGTTCTCCATTTGGTTCGTCAGTGCATCGCCGTTAGGAGGCTGGGTGAAGTCCAGCTCTAGCTGAATCCCGAGTTTCGAGCCAGGCGGAGGGAAATCATCCATCAACTCAAGATTGGCCTCCAGTAAGATGATCTCACAGCTCGGGGGGTTGTTAGCATCTGCCATGATTGCGTTGAGATGGGGAAACGAGCTCCGCCAATTAGAGAGATCCTCCAAGCGTTTTGGGGGTGCACCGGGATGACGTTGGTCCCCTTGGAGGCGGGTGTAGATATGGAATGCACTCTCGATCCGCTCTGGCTGACCTGGCGCGCTCACCCACATGTCAAAGCTGAGGCCATAGATCATATTAACGTTCGTTGCCTCGGCGTGCAGGTTGGGGTTGAAAACAACGTGTGGAGGGGGCAACTCTCCCGGGTAAGATGGCACCGGCCTCAACGAGTCATGATAAGAGGGATAATTGTGGCTATTGTAATGGCTGGAGAATGGGACTTCCATCGAATTTCTCCAGCGAGGACCGGCTGATGGTGGCTGGCCATTCGAACGGTCTGCTGGTTGCTCCCGCACAAGCCTCTCCCCTACAAAGGCCTGGTTAGATCTGGGTTTGCTCATCGAAGCTATCTAGGCAGGACATACAGTCGGGGTCACCCTTGAGAAAAGAATCAAGGACTTGCAGGTGGCTCGAGACCTGCTTTCTCGACCTCCTTTTCCCAGTAGTTTTGTAGATGTACTCAGCTATCAGTTCATTTCGACCGTAGGATTTGCCACGTTCGGACCATTTTCTTCTCCCCATGGGGGGATTCGCCTCAAGGGCTGATATTGTTAGCATATTTTCCTTGTGTGGCCGCTGTCGTCGTCTTACCTTGCTGGAAAGCATCCTCAAGCTCATCTGACCAAACAGGTTCCCCATCCTTTCCAGTATCTCGGCGAGGCCGTGCCCTGTACTCTATGTACTTTTGGGACTTGAGGTAACTTCTTGTCCTGCGGGGTCCAATCAGGCTCTGGCCAAGTGATTGGAGACGCCGCAGTTTCTTTGTATGGAAACGGTTGTTGAGAACTTGTTGGGCATGAAGGCTGGTGGTAGGCATTGGGTGAGTTGGGACCGGGGGCTGATGAGGGTACTTGAAACCATAATGTGAAAAATGGTCGTCCCGCCCGGTGGGATCCGTGTGCGCCAGGGTGTCAGAGTAGGACTGGATGTTCCCAGAGGTGTTCTGAAGCACTCGACCTGGATGGGGTCCGACACCTTCAAGACCTGGTTGGGTTGGAGGCAACATACATTCGGTCTGCCACTCAGCCATGGAGCGGATCACCTCGAATAGGCTCTCGGAAGAATGACAGATTCCACAGAGGAGGATGTTGAGGGCCCCAAATGCTTCTTGCCTGGCAAAGCACGCAGTTACTGGGAAAAATGTAAGAGCCTGGGAAAGAGAATGTTCGGGCGAAGAGCATGATGTTTATAGGGAACCCCATTCCCTCCCCTAGTAAAGGAGCGCGAAGGTAGCCCCAGCAGCTACATTGCTGGACCACGCTGTTTGCTTGTTTGGGCGATTCCCCCTCGAGGGCAGCGTCAGTCGCCTGAGGCGCGGGGAAACCCTTGACCTGAGCTTCACGCGTCGATCAGAGCGATGAGGGAGGGACGAGCAGGTGCCGCCTTGTTGCAGCAAATCAGGAGGAAGGGTGATGCACTGTGGACACCGGCTACCCATGCAAGGGGACATCCAGGGTGCACGATTCAGCGAGCCGCTGCCCGGGGATTTTGGACCTGCACGACATGATCATTGACTGGAGCCACCAAGCCAGGTACCGATGAGCAATGATGGGCGAGTTTGTGGCAAAGACCTCTCTTTGGAATGCCCAGTATCCAACAACATCGTGCGAGGCGATCATCCAAGAATGCGCGGTGGGTTACAGGCAGAGCGAGCGGAATGTAGGTTGGAAAACAACGACCGCACCCTGCTTTCAACCTGATATCCAGGGTGCAGCAGCCATACGAAAGGTAACAGTAAAGGACGAGGGGTAGACGAGATGCTAGGATCGAACAAGGATACATGGGGATAAAAAAAGATAAGGCTTCATTAAGATGCACGAGGCGACGGAACTTTGCAGAACGCGTCTGCAGGCACAGTCCTGACAGCAGGAACGTGTGAAAAGGCCCAAAGGTGTTCCGCCAAGCAAGGGGTATATTCTCACAAACACAAAAGATAGCAGCAGCACCATTACTATTCATTAACCCTATCAACAGGGAGAAGGGCAGAAGGAGAAAGGACTTTAGTTTTCCTCGTCCTGGGCCCCTACAGTAAATTTTTTCCGTCCAGCACCCGTGAGCTTCTGTAGTTTGATCCGGTCCAACTGCTCCCCTACTTTCTTTTCGATCTGCTGGATCTCTTGCTCCGCATCGATGGCCTCCTCGTTTGCAAATTCCAATACCAGTTTTCTGCCCAACAGATGGGTGTTCTTCAATGCGTCCATGGCATTTTCCGCTTCGCGAGCGCTTACGAAGTCTGCAAAACCGAAACCACGAGTCGAGCGGTCAAATTTCTTAGGAACACGCACAGAGCGAAGCTGGCCGTAGGCTCCAAAGAGTGATCTGACATCCTTCTTGGTCGCTTGGAATGGCAAGTTCTTAATGATAATCTTCGTCCTCCTAGCTGCGATTTTCTTCGCAGTATCATCACGTCGTCTTTCTTCAGCGGCGTCCATACCTTTATGCGATGATCTAACTACCAGTGCATGCTGATCGAGCTTGTATCCATTCATTGCAGCAAGAGCGGCTTGAGCTTGATCTTTGGTCCTAAAGTCAACAAAGCCAAAGCCCATACTGAGCGTCTGACCAGGTCTTTTGGGATCGGGCTTGGTCTTGATCCTCGCCGACACGAACCCATCCAACGGCTGGAAGACTTCAACGAAACGTGTATTCGTTGTGTCAAAGTTGAGATTCTTTACGAAGAGAGTTGCGGTAGCAATAGCCTGTTCAGGCTCATCTGCCGCAAACGTGTCAGCAGTCGAGAAACCTTGGGAGATGGCCTTGGTTTCCACAGTTGGTTTCTGCGGGACAACAGATGCATCGAAGAGGTTCTTAGGGGCTTTTTCTAGGAAGAGGATAGAATCTCCCAGCTTCCGGTACGCCAGACCCTTGAATGCCTTTTGAGCCTCATCTGGTCTTGCAAACTCAACAATCGCTATTGTGCCACTGGGAGGCATCAGCAGTCTTGTGAGTTGGCCATACGGCTCGAACAGCTTCCTAAGCTCGTCAGTCTTGACGCCATAAGAAAAGTTCTTTACTAAGATAGCAGTGTTTCCACGCTCTCGTTCTTTAAAAGCATCAATGTTGACACCATTTGCAGTGAAGTAAGCCTTCGTTTCTTGAATAACGTGCGTTTCAGCATGGGCTTGTTTCACTGCGGCATCAGACGAGGTAGGATCCAAGAGATCTGCTTTGGATATACCAAGTCTCTCAGCCATTGACGACATAACTGCATCGGCCTAGTAGAGAGGCTTGTTAGTATATGATACTCTTAGACTATATCCCAAACTGACTTACGTTCATATAAAGCGAGTTCCAACTGAAGGTTGAAGAAGTAGAGTCTAGCTTTCGCTTAATCTGTTTCTGTTTCTTCAAAGGCAACTTGGACAACTCATAGTCGTCGATCTTATACGTCTTCTTTGCAGCAGCTGGCAGGATGTGCAATAAACGACCTTGGAAGTGTTTTCCGTCGAGGGCTTTGTAGGCCTCTACAGCGGCGTCGGATTCAACATACTGAACGTAAGCAAATCCTTTACTGGAGCTGAACCGAGTATCAAAGGCAACATGAATCTAAATAAATCAGCAATTGTCCCATGAATCTAAAATCACAGTGAATCCAATGTCAAGTTGAGGATATGTTGCTCTTCAGATACTAGAGGCATCTACTAAAATTCTCTTTTCCTGGTCACATCATTTGCTTTGCATCTGATGTCCCTATCAGGATGTTCATCATGCGAGCAACTTTGCATGAAAGGGGGGAAGGAAAGGTAGGGAGGGCACAGAATGGAAATGGAAGACTGACCTCTTCAATCCTGCCAAAGGGAGCGAATACCGGTTCGAGATCGGACTCCTTTGTATCGTAAGATAAGTTTCTCACAAATAAGCGCGCGGAAATGCGAATATTTTCAATGTTTGTATCAACTTCCGGTGCTTTTGTCGGCTCCGCAGTATTAGCCGCGGCCGGAGAAGCATCAACCTCTGCGTCTTCATTGTCGACTTCAACATCACCTGCTGGCTCCGTTGAATCAGTGGGCCTTTGCGCTGTGGAGTCAAACTCTGCTTGCTCCTCTTCGTCTAGGAGACCGAGAAGACGGCTTGTCTTAGACCGAAGCCAGTCAGCGTCAGATACCGGTTGTTGCTCATCTTCCTGAACTGCGGGCTGCTCTTGGTCCACCGCTTGCTCAGTAGTATCTTCTTCCTTACTTGCATCAACAACCATAGGCTCAGGCTCGTCATGCCGTGACACATGAGCATCTTCTTCAGACGTCTCCCCGAGCTTTGCCTTCTTCCTTTGAGCATAAGTAAGTTCTTGAGAAACTTCATTTGCTTCAACGGGCGGGTCCTTGGCAGATGAGTCATTGGCAACAGGGTTGATCACGGCATCATCATTGGCCCATGTCTTTGTGTGTGATGAGTGCTGCATGAGGGAAAGATACTCTTGCAGCTTAGGGTCCTGCTGGGTGGGCTCCCCATCACGCTTACGTTTGAGTGTATTCTCTGCAGTCGAGTCAGGCTTATCAGCCTTTTTAAACTTTTGAGCAGCACTGGTAGGTTCGGAGTCGATCTAAAGCAATTCTGGTCAGTCTCAAGACCACCTTTATCGGTCAGCGTGCGCAATGGGAATGGGAAACATAAAAGCCAGATCGCCAGGAAGAAGCCACATACCGGTTTAGCAATATCTACAGAGATCTTTGACATCTTGACATATGTCTTGTTGAAGTATTTAGCAGCTTCCTGGGCCGCCTCGGGGGTCTTCAAGCCCACAAAGCCAATCCTGCGTTTGGGTAATACATGAGCGTCGGTAACTTGGAAGCGACTAGCAAAGTGCTTCCTAAGTTGATCATTGGAGAATGTTGGCGGAAGGCCAGAGACAAATACTCTTGTGCTTTCCATGATTGTGTCCTGTGGCTGCCTTTCCCAAAGCCAGCAGGGAGTGGAATGTATAGAAGAAAAAAAAAGCCCCAAAATTTTTTTAGTTTATGCCGCTTCCTTATAGTGCCGGCAAAGGCGGTGAGAAAAGTGGGCGTGGCCCGTGCGTATCCACACGGTTGCTCCTCAGCAACCACGATAGCCCAACGTCTACTTCCGGAGGCAATTCGGCGGAACGCTGTGTACTGTTGGACTACCTTAGAGACGCAAATCTCCAGTTTACTCCCTTGCTTATTGTTGAAGCTTTTCCAGCACCCTCAACCGACCAAAATGTCTTCCGAAAAGAAGGATAAGCTCGAGCGTGAGTGCAACTTCAGCGGCATCTTCAACATGACTAACTTTATGGGGCAGCGCAAATCAAGTCCGTCGATATGGTAAGCGTGTTGCCACTAGAATTGGAGGTCTAATTGCTTATGGTATGAAAGACGGAGGATATGCAGCAGGAAGCTGTCGAAGTTGGTATGATTCATCGGGTATCCCGACGGAGGTGATTGCGACTAATTGTTTAGCGATCGAGGCAATGGAGAAGTACCACATTGAGAAGGTTGGTCACAACGATTGTTCGTCGACTCGGTAGGGTGCTAATTATTATTAGGACATTGCCCAGTATATCAAGCGAGAGGTCAGCGTTTCCTCCGATAACACCACAGCCCCTCACTCACAGTCTACAGTTTGACTCGCGCAAAGGAGCTACATGGCATTGTGTCGTAGGGAGGAATTTCGGAAGCTTTGTCACACACGGTACGAACTGTTGTGCACTAACCTGCCGGGGTGTTGCTAATTCAATTCAGAGACGAAACACTTCATCTACTTCTATCTCGGACACTGCGCCATTCTCCTCTTCAAGACTCAATAAACACGCCTTGGCATACATGGTTGGAAATAAAAAGAGGGCCGAGTCCTTGGGCAATTGGGACCTTGACTGCCAATTGGGGCATGCCGCCACAAAATAGACGCCGGCGACGTATGGGTCTTAACTCGCGACACGATGGACTGGCCCCTGAGATCGGGCGTCATGGCAGTTGGTGCTGCATAATCTTACCTTCCCTTCAGCGGTATTTATTTACATATTCGAGTCCTACATGGTTCAATTTCGGTGTCATTGTATCTTGATGTGAGTTAGATTGGTCATACCAAGCAGATTATGTGCTGTATGACGGAGTGCCTTGTAGTATAGTAGGCTCGTACCAGCTCGTACCCTAGTAACTATAGAGCCTCCCAGCCAGCTACCACACAGTATTGAATACACACAAAGGAGTCCCTCACCTCACCTACCTAACCATCATATCACATCCCCAAGTTTCCTCTCCCAAGACATAAAAAACGCCCAAATTCACCAAACACGTGCCACGCATTCCAGAAGAAAGCGAACAGCCAAACGCCAAGTGCCAAGCCACAGCGCCACACGTCACCCCCAATAAGGGATCTCATAATAACGCTGCCTCTCGCCTTTGGATTCAACCTTCACCAACTCAACTCACCTTGATCATAAACCCTCAAGACCAGAAGCCATACTTCCCCTTCGTATCATAGACCAGAATCTGCGAAGACCCCAACCACCATGGCAATCTGCATCACGTTCGGAACGCATGGTATGTACAGCGCAACTCTGCATACTAATCCCTCCGTGTATATATATCCTCCGCACCGACCCGGAAATAAACTCCCCATGCGCCGATTTCTAAATACGACGTCTTCTCGTCTTCATAAGCACTAGGCTAACAGGTTAAATAGAGTTCACGTCCATGCTGCAAGGCTACGAGAATGTCAGGGCTTACTGCTATAACTGTATGTTTACTCCGGTTTTGCTTACTAGGTGCTTGGTTGGCTTGTTCCTGACCCGACTAATCAATCATGGGGTTGGATTAGGCCAACACTACAATGGACATTGTATTACGCGATGGTATGTTCTTTGCTTTTCTTTCAAGTACTTGCATTCGATGCGTGAATGGGCCTGATTGCTAATTGCTCTAGGCCCTGGTTTACCGTCTGCTTCATTGTATGTTGCGTTCCCGATCTGGTTGCAATAGCTCTTACTATCATCACCCAGAATATCCAACTAACATGAACCGTAACCCACCAGCCCATGATCCCGCTAGCAACACACAAGTACAAGGTAAATATCTGCTTCAACCATTTCTTAGCTCCCACCCAATGAAGAATAAATACTAACAAGCCCCCAGGAAGTCACATGTTACACATGTCGCTTCACCCAAGACCTACGGTACGTGGTTCCCTAATCAGAATAGTAAAAGAAAACACTCTGTCCGATCAGAACAACTGACAACAGATAAGTGATCGCCCCGATATCACGCCAGAGACTAGGCCTCCGGTAGGTGCGCCGGCTGGCCCAGCACCACCTCCACAGGCCTACTGGGGTCCTCCTCCTCAAGCCTCCGGGGGAGGCGGATATCCCCAGCCTCAGGCCGGGGCACCGCCGCAGAATCCTCAGTATAAGTGATTCTGTGCTGGTGTTGACCTTGATTTTCTTATTTTTATTATGTCGAGGGTTTTAGGGGATGGGGGTTTGGTCTGGTCGAGAAGCGATGTTAATGATGTGTATATTCTGTTGTTGTACGATACCTTTGCTTCTATTTTATCTACTTGCTTTTTTTTATTTTAATTAATGAGGGTTGTATTCCATGATATATGTGCATTCAATGGGTAAGAATTAGTAATAGCATTAATAGCGTAACTGGCGTAGAACGAATGGGGTATATAATCAACGCAAAACACAAAATCCCAATCACATCAGTAGGTATGGATGGGCTTGCATCTGGGCACCCAACAGAATCTTGCATACCAAACAACCAAGCTACACGTCCGACTTAGTGCCCACTTTCTCCGTCGGCGTCGCAGAACCAGATGGAGTCTGTTCCTGTCCCTCAAACCTCGGCTTCTTACCAACAGCATCAAGAGCCATAAGCCTAGCCGTACGGATAATACTCTCTCTTCCCTCATACAGTGGGAAAAGCACCACTCCTACAGTCGTACAGAAAAGCCAGATGATGCCCACGACAACCCAGCCGGTGAAGAACTTCTTGCTGAACACGTACGAGCTGCCATACATGGGGATTGGCCATAAGAGTAGGAAGCACAGAACCATGCCGATGGTGAGGGTGCGCGAGTAGAGCGCGGCCCTGTTGAGCTTGCGCTCTTCTTCTTGCTCTTTGGCGGGGTTGATGGCGGCGGGGTTGTTTTCGCCGGGGATTAGTTCGATATCGACGTGTGCGGCTGCTGCGACGTCTGTATCATCAACTTTGCGGATGGCACGCATGGATTCGTAGTCGTAGTTTTGAGGACCGAATATGTAAGTGAGGACAGGAGAGAATATGATGGGGCTGAGGAGGGCGGCGACGTTTCCAGCGAGCATGGGATAGCTGGGCTTTTTATTAGCTGGGGGGCCTTATTGGGTGAGGTCGAGGACAGGTTACTTACTTTGCGCCAGTGGTAGCGACGGTCAATACACCGGATTCCTTCTTAGCGGTTACAAGCCATGCGATGAGGGACACGGCGAGGCCCAGAATAGGTGATACAGCTGCTGCGACCCAGTTCTGTGCCTTCCAGACGAGGGTCATCGCGCCTGGGAACACCGCCGACGAGATGATAACTCCCATAAGCAAGTAAAGGTAGCCCATACCGATACCCGCGTAGTAGAGACCAGTTGCGAAACTAGCCATGGCAATAGCCCAGAAAATACAGGACATGTGAGACACCCACACTAATCTCTTGCCCTTTGCAGAGGGGTTGATATAAGCCTGATAGATATCGTAAGTCAGGATGGAAGAAACAGCAATTAGCTGAGCCGAAAACGCCGACGTGACTGCCATGAAAATCATGAGTGTGGTGCAGACAGCTCCACTATATCCCAGCAGCTTGACAGCAGCAAAAGGTAGGACAAGGCCGGCAGTTACGTCCTCCGAGCTCATGCGCTGAGTGCCTTCAAGAGCAAGAGCAGATATTCCCATAGTACTGGCACAGAGCCAAGGAATGGCGAACCAGCAGAGGCCACCAATAACATAACCAGGGAAAGCATGTACGGGGTGCGCAGCAATAGCTATCGCAGTCAGTACTGAAGCAACATAGCACCATTCCATCTCGAGTTTGACACACCTTTGTTGTAATAGCCATTGTCCAGGAAGACAGTACTGAAACACACTGTTAGCATATATCAACCAAGGTTTAGTAAGGTATCTACACACCCAAAGTTACCTAGATTTTTAGTTAGCATTAAGCCACAACAAAAGAATACATGTATTCACTTACCGACAAGGTTGATAACCCAGAAGATACCACCCTCCTTTGATCGCATGGTGAGATAGCTGCCCTGAGCATTACCCTCCACAGGATGACGATCAGCCGCCGCAACCAGAGCATCATAAACTTTACCCGGAGATCCAAGAGTATCGTTAGACGCGTAAGCGGAGAATGCATAGATGAATATAACGACGATGATAACCACGGTGTGCATATAGTCGGTGATAAAAGTTGCTTTGATGCCACCGAAGAGCGTATAGAGCACAACACCAATGGGGAGCAGGAAACAAGCTGCAACCGTATTGACTCCAGTTAAGGATGTCAAGACAGCAGATCCACCAGTGAGCAACATTGCGGTGACAAGAATATTGGTCATCAAGCAAAACACAATGAAGACCACATGGACAGCAGTGCCATATCGAGCGCGAATGACTTCCAGGAACGTATGCGCATTTGGGGCTCGTCTTTTGAGTTCAATGGCGAGCGTCGCAAATAGAATAATCTGCACGCAGGCACCTGGGATCCATGTGGTTAGTGATAAAGCCCACTGTTTCTTCGGCCACACTAACCTGATGCATAGAAGAATGGCCCCGAAATTCCGTACTGATAGGCTACTGCAGAGGATTGCAGAAGGGTGGCAGCCCAAGTCCAGCTACTTACGACAGCAGCAGCAACCAAACCTGACTTGACGGATCTTCCTGCAGTCGAAAACATCTCTGAGGTCTGGACTTCATACTGATATCTATAGTGAACAGTCCGTTAGCTCCAGTTCCTCTTACCTTGGTAAAGAGATGTAGCTCTTGCCTTTTGAGGGCCCAAGTGATAAAAACCATCACCAAAGCGAATGCGAACCCTAATCCGACAATAATACCATAGCCAAACCCTTGAGACAAGGGAGCAACAAAGTTGGCTGTCTCCGACATGACTGCGGCTTTGGTCGGACGATGGCCTTGGATGGTCAATCCGAATGCACGTATATCCTAATACGGGGTATGAAATTGCAGTTCAAGTATAACAATATAGGCTAATATCAATATAGCGACCCACAAGCAATGACCTCGAGCAGTCTGATACTTTCTGAAAGAAAATCTGGAGGGAAGCGAAGAGTGACTTGATTCATATACTACCTCAAGTAGTACAACCATGTGCATAGGAGACCTCCGACCTCGCAGAAGACCCCCAGACTGATCAACATCCTTCGTCCCATTGAATCGGGATTCTGGACTGCTCAACCCAGTCATTGTCGTTGCTGAAGCTCCGGGGCCTGATAAGGGCTTCATGTTCGTATTTCACCAACGTCACAGCGGACCAGCACATGGAACAGGGTGGCCCGCGATTTTCTTATTTCCATCGCTTATTGACAATCCATAAGGCTCATGGTCCCTATCGTAGTCGACCTCAATCCTCCAGTTATCATTGGCCAATCTTGTTTTCGTCGCCCATCCTTATCAGTGGAGGTTGGATGAACGCCATCGTCGATTGGCTCCGAGACGGCAAACGGTTGATAAGGAACACGGGGCTTTCTGATATCAAGATAGTGGATGCCGACCCAGCTTTTAGGTAAATCACCAACAATGAAAAGAAGCTAGAAAACAAACCCTCTAGGCGTGATAACGCTTTCCCTTACTCCAGGTTTCGAGTAATGGATTATCTGCATTCTCCACGCTCCCGATTGCGCGGAAGCTGGGGAGAGTTAAAGGATCTGATCTCGTTTGATTGAACGAGAGAACCTAAAAAGGAGTCACAAATTGCCCAAGTGGAACTAGCGTCTCTTCTCTATTCAATAATGAAGCTCGCCGTTGTCGATGCAAACCTGGGTCGGGTGTTAGTGGGAAGTTGGGTTGATCTGAGAAAACATATACGGAGTACAGAAGACAGGTTCCTTGTTCCTTAGTAGATGAAACGTCCTCGTCGCGCTAGCCCTGTCCCTCAGGCGGGAAACCCTGCCTGGACCAATAGCCAGGCTTACATATCACATGTCCCTACCGTCGCTTACAACACAATCAACTTCTAAGGTTCATGTACCCATTGAAAAAGCAACTGATATTATACAAAGCTTTCCTTCCAAACTTTCGGCATGAAAATCTTTCATTAACTGTCACAAGGGTTGGAGGCAGCTCCAACAGTAACATAACAACCAGCACACCTTCCCAACCTATGCTGCAGATAGGCTTTCAACACTCAACTTCGCGAAGTATCGGACGATCCGATTCAAGGATCCCCGCGCACCAAGGACAACAACGGATAGGCAACGGACACCATGGGGTATATTATTTCAAAAGGGTAGAAGAGAGTATGGGAGTGAACCCGCCGAAAGCGACCCTCTCAGAATGGCCAAAATCGTTCCAGGAGCAGGGACCGGCTACGCATAGCAAAACAGCCCCGCTCACTCAGAACCTCACTCAGCCAAACCACATGTCGCTCGAGGCAGGCAGGAGAGTGATGGCGAGAGCAGACGCAAAGTCGTTGCTCACGAGGAGAACTTGCGAGTGATCTTGGCGATGACTAAAGCCGGACACACATCAGTATCCATTAGGGATCGAATTGACCTATCTCAGGTGTTACATACCATGCAAACCAACGACAGAAAAGATGAAGCCCAAGCTCAGAACCAAGACGACAACAGGGTCAACCCTCAAGCCAGGGCTCTCGTCAGTGTAGAGCTTGAGCATGGTACCAGAAGAGCCACCGGCACCGGCAGCGCGAGTCGAGCTGGGTCTGGCATTGCGCAGAGACTCCTTGTGGTCGGCAGCCGCGCGACGACGCAAAGCAGCTCGAGGACCACCGGGGGGAGTGGGAGAGGAGGTACGGGCGATGGAAGAAACAGAGCCAGCAGCTCCAGCTCCAGCACCAGAAGCCTTGGAGTCTGGGCCAGACTCGGCACCAGAGGTCAGGGGGGAAGCAGCACGGGGAGAAGCCTTAAATTATATTCATATTAGCATCACCATTAAGAATTGGGATCCAACATTAGGGGATAAAAGAAAGCCAATGCGGTGTCTAGGCACGACAGGAGTCCCATCTACCGAAGGACGATCAGTTGGCTCACGAAGGACACTCACCATTTTAAGAAACCGTAGTCAAATGAAGATAATCAAAGAATGTCGTGAAGAATTGAGCGAAATTAAATTTAAGAACGAAGAAAAGAAAATGGACTGGTTGGAGAAGGAGGGAAGTCTGCTTGGAAGGGGAAGGGGAATTAAGTGGTAGCTGGCAGAGTTGAGGTCGCAAGTTCACTCAAAAGAGGCCACGCTCACGGTTTCCCATTGGCCGTACTGTCACGTATCGTCACGCCGACCTACCCCAGTTTCCTCCACCAACCACAGCCCGCCTGTGCATCCCCTTCCCACTCATAATGACAGAGGTCATCTTGAACTTCACAGATTGTGACAAACGCACTTGGTGTATACCGTGGGAGATACGGTATATTTTGGCGGGGTGTGGGGTGTAGCGACATTCCTACTTGCTTTAGTCAAATTACAAGTAAAATAGTCCATATTCTTCCTATGTATTTTATTCCAATTATGTGATAGATACAGTACATAACATATGAGATGCACAGTCGTGAAAAAAAAAAATAAACTGACATAAGCAAGGATATCAAAGTGCAAAGTGTCGGAATCATCGATTGAACGCTGTCAGCGCCCATTTAATAAGGCTGTATGTGGAAGGGCGAGGAAGAGAAGCGAAGTAAAAGGGAAACCCTGACAGCAAACGGAGAAGAAAATGGAAATCGTGAGCTAAATCGATCAATGCAGAAAAAGGTATCATATCGCAAATCCCGGAAACACCTTCAAAATACAGTATCCAAGTCGACATATAAGAGCGAATTGCACGTGGTTTGCAAACGTCTCACGTGGATATCTGTGTCCCGATAAAGCGCTTGGTTGTTTTTATATGGACAATTGAACCAAAAGGTTGTTATCTTGAAATCATGAAATTGTACGACCATGCTCGGGCTCAATCGATCATCATCCGATTGGGCACTTGGCCGGCAATGTTTGAAGACAGCTCTGTGGTCTTCTCCTCGTCTTTGCGGGCCTTTTTCCTATTCACGTGCGGTTTCAAGCCCTTGTGGAAGTTATGCATGCACATGCAAGCGTTGATAATAGTCATAACGATGAGAACGAGGGTGATGACGGCGAAAAACGTCAAGGACCGTTGCGCTTGGAGGTATTCTTGGTACGTGTTCTTGTCGTAAATGCGGTACAGCTTGAACAAGAAATATGCCAGCGCAGCAAAGTAGAGGAGCTATGATAATAGTTAGAGAACTTCTCGAGGGCGGGTAACCGATCAACACGTACAATGATTACGATCATTCCAATAGAACTTTCGCGCCGAACGAAAAGAGCAGCAGCTAACAAAATCAAGATTGTGACCGGGATAGCCGCCAGAGTAAGCGCAAACTCGGCATCGTGCCGGTTAGTGACAATGACCACGAATTGCACAGTAAATCCGAGGAAAAAGAAGAAGTCGAATTTGAGGAGCGCAATGTAGATCTGCCGGTTCAATCAGCTGGAATTCCTTGTCCACTAGGTAGTTCACAACAAACCTGGTATGTGAGGTATCGGCGCTTCATTCGCAAATCAGCGCTAATGTGCTTGTAGATGGACCACGCAAATTCATCGTATAATTTCCAAGCCACGATCATCATCAGCAGCGTGCCCATGGCCACAACGCATGGGATGATGATCAGGAAAGGCTTGATTTGTCCCCACACAGCCGGATCAATGGCTGTATTGTCATTCAAAACTCCGATCGCATCTTTAATTTGTTCCACTTGCACGGCACCGTAGATCAATAGGCCAACGTTGCATACGCACAGCCCGATGACTTGAATGGTATTTTTAAGGCGCAGTGCGTCGTAGACCAGCACTAACTCATAGATGAAACCGAAACTGTACAGTGCTAAAAAGGTCGGAATTGTTTTGGATGCCGTTACATTGACGGCTATCTCATAGAGTTTGAGTTGGAAGTCTGCGAATACGTAACTACAAAGCATCCCGTCAGCATCAGCGATATATCTTTCTAAAACCGCGGTAGCAGCACATACCATTCTAGAGCGAGTGTGACGACTGCTTGGAAAAGGGTCACAATACAGAAGGACCACGTCCACATTGAATTTGGTCTATACATCTTGCGTTTCTTAGGGCGCGGGGGCACATTTGTGTACCCTTCTCGCCCTCGAAAACCACCGCCTCGTCGAAATGCCGGGTCAAAAGAACCTCCAAGGAGGGAGGCGCGTGAATTGTTGGTCTGAATTTTGGTAATAGGCTCCGCTACGGAGCTCGTGTCCGCCGGAGTCTCGCTTCTGGGATACAATATGACGGTTCTGACCACCGAATGGCGGCGAAAACGCAGAAAAGGAGTCTAGGAGCCGAAAACCACGGGCGGGGAAAGAGGATCGGAGAGTTTTTATTTTAGACGACCCTATGAGAGGACTTCAGTTTAGGAGGTCTGATCTCGAACTTGGCGGGTTCGACGATGACAGGACCTGAGGCACAAGCCTCCACAGCCTCTTTCAGCCTAACGATGAATGATCGGGGGAGGAGATGGCCCGAGGAAGACAAGAGAGAACGAGGACGGGGAGGCGCGACTTGGGGATCTCCTTCGAGCGAAGGAGGCTTAATGTCCGCCAAGCCTCGGGTGAAAGGTCGTGTGTTGGGCGGAGAGGCACACTCCGATTGATCGTTCAGGACTGGTGTAAGGCTGAGCACATGCAGAATCACGCGAGGACCCTTCTCAGCGAGTGGCTGGAAATGGGTCAACAAATAGCGACTGATAGGTTTGACTGAACCCCCAAGAATCGATAGGAGGGGGGGAGGAGAATTCCAAAACGAAAGTGGGTGGTCGAACGAGGGACGATAGGAATGGGTGGTTTGAATATAGGGGAATGCCGATTAGATGCGGGTGAGAAGGAATAATAATATCAGTAATCACGAGGAATGAGGTTAGGTAAGGCACGGTCGGTTCCTCAAACTGCGGGAGAAAGTCGAGAGGTTCGTTTCCTTTTTTATGATTTTTCTAATTTTTGCCGGCAATTACGCAGTCTTTTGACTGACAGGACCACCGATCATTTGGAGTCTGGAGAAGGGGCTTTTTTTTTCTCCTCTCTGTTTGGTTTGGTTGAGAATTTGTGGTATTATTCCAGGGTTTGGGGCGGAGAAAAAAAAAGAAAATCAACAGAAACAATCCAGACACGGGGAAGAATTGTAGAGTGTGTATTATATACAAAATACAGATACTCTCCTTCTCTTATGGGAAAAACAATGGGGTTAATAGCTTCACTTGGCTTGACAGTTAACGGTAAAAAACGACCTCCCTGTTAATCTGTTTCTTTTTTGGTTTATTATTAGTAGTTCTTTTATTTTTGTTTTCATTTTATTACGCCAGGAACTTTGGTCCCCGTTTACTATTGTTACCATTTTTACTTCCCGTCCCAAAGTATAGGCCACCCAGCCAAGAAAGGCTCTGCTCACTGTTTTCCCTCATAAATTACGGGCAGCTCCATATGGAGGACCGTACGTATCCAAACAATCATATCCGGTACGACCGGGTGCCTGAGGCCCTGGGGCCACTAACTTCGATTTTCGTGAACTGGTGTATACTCTAAGTGGGTCAGGGACCCATCATAACCTGTGAGACGGGAGACCAGATAAATGGTGATGGGGCCAGAATTCTCGGGGCTTGTGTCTGGACTCTGGCTAATTAATCCGCTTGGGTCCTCCGTACCTGGTCTCGTTTACCCATGGTTGAACCCCTGGTGGGAACACAAACTGTCTGCTAAACCCCCTCAATGCGAATGGAATGACCGATTAGACATCACTAGCGGCCAGGCAGTCATCAGAACTGTACTCTGGAGTGGGAAGGAGAGATTCAATACCATTGTGTGTGTGGATCGGTTTCGCTAGGAGACTGGATATCCCCATCGATAGGGCAACTATAAGGTTATTTACTGTCTGCAGTCCGATTAGTTAGCAGTTACGCGTTCCATGGGTCTTCACCTAGGCAGACAGATAGACAAGAGCACCAGCTCTGGGCACTGGAGGCTGTCACTGCAACGTTCCACAACCCCTTCTGGTCCAAATCATTGTTGTGATTGTTGGCTTTGTACTGTGCATATATCCCTTTTGATGAACGACCGCTGATGTTCCCTTCTGATGCTACCTTTCGCTTCCGTACTATATATAGTAGACTCGGCATGCATAATTAAGGTAGGAGTTAAGACAACAGCTGCACCTCCATTAATATGGTATGCATATTCCCCTATGTGCTAGGAGCTAAAAATTATGGAACAATCAGTACTGACAAATCTTGGAGCCTTTGAATTAGTACTAGATAATCCACCCACTAATTAAAGCTCCCATCGACGATACAATCCTTATAAAAACTTGCATTTCAAAACCATGCCAGCTGCAGGTCCTTGTTCACCGGCAGCTGTGGCTGTCTCATCCGCACTTGGCTACGCCACTGTTATATGCCACTGAAACCAGGCCAATAAAGACGTGGCCTCCTCCAATAACCCAACCACAGCACTGGTATCTCAGGCTGGCGTCTCAACGAAGATTCATTCCCAGCACTGCACACGGGTGTTTTTTTTTTCTGACCATCTTTCATCAGGCAAGAGAACTATCAACAGGAACTGAACTTCTCCAGTCTGTGGACGTGGCAGGCCACCATCTTGCACTCCAATCGCTACAGTACACGGCACAGCGAGAAGAGACGGCTTTATGTCACACAAGTACCCCCTAACATCAACATCTGTGAATTGGTTACAGCGCAGGAAGTATCACGGAAATAACACAGGCCAATGTTGCCCTATGTCGCAATGTTTTCAGGATAGCTTCCTTCACTTGTCCTTAGGGACTTTTTTTTGTGCATGGTCTGGAACGAGCGCAGACATACGAGAGCGGAGGTCTCATCTCGGTCAAGGATATCAGAGCTGCGAGAAGCGTACAAGTCACGTTCGCGATGTCTTTAATGCACATGTCAGCCGAGGCCAGTGTCAGAGGCAATGGGAATCTACGGGCGTCACGCAATGTATCTTTTCAAGCAGAACCACTGCCAACCAAGCTTTCCATAGTGCTGGGATAGTGCCATTTCCCCTGGGGACTCGACGCTTGGGCCTTCTGTGTTGGAAATCGAGCCATTTTTACCACAGTGTAAAACTGAAACCCACAACTCGACCTCGCTTGACTCTTCTTTCAGGCTACGTGAAACTTGAAAGATAAAACTAGCGCCTGGCATCATACTTCGGTGCTCTCTCACGGGCCCGTTTTAGGATAAATTCAAATTGGTATCATTCCAGGGAAGTACGGAGTCGTACGGCGGATGACACCGTGCCCGGTCCCACCAGGCCAGTCTGTTGTTCTCCACCCACGACAGCGTGCTATCCGCGAAAGGATTCGGTTCACCACCGTGGGTGGCTATACACAGTACAGGATGCTGATCAATGATGAAGAGATTACAGTACAGGTGGCTCAGAGACGATACCGCCAATGATTTCCAACGCAATATGCTCAGCCGCAATCCTCTCGCTCGTCTCAACGGCCTCATTAGGTTTTGGTAGGGCGCTCCTCCCAACGAAAGGCGACCATTCACTAAGACGAACTCCACATGGAACGTTTCAAGAAGAAAGGGATTCCATGGAACTAAACCGCAACCGTGCATCATCGCCATGTCAACAGGGTCAGCCGCTAAATCCTGGACTGACAGCTCTTGTGCCAATGAGATCCATGGCTGTGGCTGTGTGGAAATCCGCAGTTCAGGTGAGCCACACCCCAGACTCCCTGGTCGTGGCTCACCCCAAGCCAGTTAATCAACATGACAGGTGGACGTGCCCTTTGCGATAATCTCATTCCACGTCGTGCAGAATGAGAAAACTCGACGGACTTTTGTCGCTTGTTGGACCTCAGGAAGGCCAACGGTTACTATTTACAGCATTCTGCCGATCCCTCGCGTCGTGCGTGCGTTCGGACAGCGAAGCCGAGGCTTCCGATTACTCTTTCAACGGAGATCAGCAACGAGAATAAAATACCGCGTATCACTAGTCTCTCTATTTCCCTGCCCTACGCGCGGCATTCTAAGACATGCTACGGTACATGTTCTAAGTTCTGACATTTAATCCATGTCGACATAAGGCTCAATGAGCCTTAATCACAAATTCACCAGCCACCGGATCGCTCAATGCATGTTGGATACCCTGGGCCATAACCTCGTCCCACTTCTTCGATGCAGACAATTTACTTCCATATCGTCTAAACCCATGTGGCAGCCCTTTGAAGACATTAACATCGGTAGGCACCCTGCGAAGCACGAACCGTTAGCTGTAAGTTATTCCCACGCGAAACGGGCTCCTCACCCATTCTCGGCCAGCAACATCGCGAACAGCAGCCCTTCATCTCTCAAGGGATCCCTCCCTGCGATTCCGAACGTCGTAGGCGGCAATCCCTTGACCTCGTCCGCCGTCGCAAGTCCCGGATTAATGCGTCTATCAGCTCCCAACTCCGACCCATTCACCTCCGGCTTGAGCAACTGTCCAAACAAACGCATCCTGCTGACGGGGAGAATCGGCGCATGCTCGCACTCCACATAACTCGAGACAGAGGGATCACGAAGCTGCGCAACCAGCGACGCATAACAGTCCTCCGTAACAAGAGCCGGGATCATGAGCACCTGGCCCCGGACCTTCGGCCTCTGAGCCAACGATACATCCTCCCCGATGTTCTGCCCCAGCGTCAAAGACGCCGCCAGATAGGCCCCCGCCGAAATGCCCCCGACGACCACGTTCTCCGCCTCGCCGCCGATATCACCAATATGGTCATGGACCCAGTGAAAGGAATCCTCTGCATCATTCCAAGCGGTCGGATACGTGTACTCTGGGGTATGACGGTAATTCACATTGACCACCACCACGGGAGATCCCGCAGCCACCTGGGCAACGACAATGCGCGAGCAGATCGCATCCTCCGAACTCAGAGTGCCCATGACAAACCCACCGCCATGGTAAAAGATAAAAACCGGCAACCGCTGCGTAGCAGGCACCGACGACGGCCGGTAAGTGCGAGCTTCCAGCGACTCTCCGTCGCGCGTCGGGATCGTGTAATCTTGCATGGACACCTGCGATACCAGACCTATTTCACCAGACAAAAAAAGAAAATATCCCGTAAGCCTGTAGACTTTTTCCAATCCCCCGAAAACCATAGCCACCACTCTCTCCTAGAAAAGGAAAAGGAACACAACAAACCTTCCTCAACCATAGCCTTCGCAGCCATAGCCTCGCGATCGCGATTTGCCGCCGCCTTCAGCTGCTCTATGCTCAAACCCTTGGGGATATCCGGGAGTGATTTCTCCAACTCGAGCCATTCTTCATGGGGCGTAGTATACTCTGAGAAATCGGCCATTTCGTTCAACAGTAGGAAAGAAATATGGATATTACAACTGTATGTTATCGGTTCAGTGGAGGTGTGAATTTACCTGAAATCGAGCGAGAGAATGCAGGTTGATATTTGGAGGTTACCTTGGGTAAGTCCGTCACTAATCGATAAATAATCCCCCCCCCCCCCCCCCACCTTCTCCTTCACCTCGGTACTTGGGATTTTTATAACTCTATCAATCCTATTTCTATGCACTGCCTTACGCGTACACCCGAGGTATATATGATCATGATCTACACGTCACACTTCTAACTTGGAGTTACTAACTTGATGTTTGTATCCAATGAAGATGGTTGTTCAGCTTAGGGGCTGTGGTTGGCTTGTCTATTTCTGTTTTGGGTAGTACTAGTAGGTATACTGTACCGAAGTATATGCATAGTATTCACTTCACAGTAGTAAATGATTCTCAACACCATCAGGATCTCTATTTCTCTACTGAGGGAGTCATAGAGTGATAATTAATTCCACGCTCAAGCCCCATCATAAGTACATACAACAAGGTAAGCAATCACCAAGACCTACCTAAAAAGCGCCCTTCCCAGGCGTCGTATCACCATCCAAGTCCCCACAGCCCCATTCAAACGACGACGGAACAAAGAACCTCGCCCCGGTCGAATTCCCATAAGCAAGACCCACGAGCGTTTCCCCTATAGACCCCAATCAGCTCCCATCCCAAGATAGATAAAAAAAAAGAAAGGAAAAAGTAAACCAAACTCACCACTCTCGTCATACCGCGGCCACCCAAACCGACTCAATCCATGCACAGGATCCCCCGCAAAAGCAGCCCACGCTGACGCCATATACCTTGCGAACTCGCGTTCCGTCTTAGAGTCAGCTATCCCACTGATCTTGCTCGCGGTGCCGAAGACCATGGGGAGATCGATGCCATGGTACGCGCCACTGGACGCGTACAGGCGGAGATTCTCCCAGTCGCCGAAGTACCGCGATTGCCAGACGGGCACGCCGGCTGCGGCGCGGTGCGCTGCTGTTTGCCCCGTGGGGCAGGTGAAGGCGGCTTGGTTGAATAGGTCCCAGACGGGGTCGGGGTGGGAGATGTTGGCGGCGTAGGCGCTGACGCGGTAGTAGCCTGCTTCGTTGGCGTTGCTGGTTACCAGGTATGGCTGTTCGGAGGGTTAGTTATGAGTTGCGTCTTTGTTGTGGAGGGTGACTGGGGGGGGGGGGGGGGGGGGGGGGGTCTGGGACTGACGATGCGGCTGAAGTTTCCGGTGGCTGATCTTTGGGCGTAGTCGTCGAAGATGGTTATGTTGTCTACTGTTGGGTGGAAGACGGGTTGGGGGAGGACGGGGGAAGATGCGGTTGGGACTTTGGCGACGGCTTTTAGGATCGATTTGTAGGGTTGTTGGCGGAGGCATTGGATGATGTGGTTTGTGTTGGTGGTGCTGTTTCCGCAGCCTAGGGTTCGGGATACGTGGTAGAAGTAGCTGGCTGATTCCTCGGGAGTGTTGGGCTTGAAGCTGAGTGCTGTTCCTGAGTGGGAGATGAGGCCGCTGACGAGAGGTTTCTCTGTCCAGATGTATGAGTAGTAGTCGACTGAGGCGCCGCCGGCGGATTGTCCGAAGATTGTGATGCGATTGGGGTCTCCACCGAATGCTTGGATGTTGCGATGGACCCATTCCACTGCGAGGCGCTGGTCGAGTAACGCTACGTTCTGGGGGAACCTGGGTGCGCCGGAGAAACCAAATATGTTCAATCGGTAGCTTTCGATGGTTAGTCAATGGGTCTAGATAGTGATATTCAGAAGGAAAACTGACTTGAACGTTACGACCACCACCTCTTGTTCGTCGGCCAAGATTTGACCGTCATAGTAAGGGCTATGTGCACCACCTAAGGAGAACCCTGGAGGAATCAGTCATATGGAAGAACAAGAAGGAAGGGATATCTACTTACTACCGCCGTGGATAAAGACGAGCACAGGCTTCAAGGCCGATGTTGCAGGTCTAGTCCACACATTCAGATACAGGCAGTCTTCACTCTGAGGCGTGCCCAACTGCTGGGCAAATGTTTGGATAATCTTTTGAGCCTGGGGGCTGAAACCGGGGTAATCATCGGGCGTTGTACCGATATTCGCTGGGCAGTCTCTGTAGTAATGAGATGTTATTGCTCAGGTCAACTCGATTAGAGGACTCAACTTCACATACGGACTCTATGGTTTTGTTAGCTGAACAGCAGCTCCTTTCAATTCCACTGATACATCACATACATAGGTACTCGCGCGAACGGTAGAATTGGAATGGTGTGCTACTGGACGTGCGAATCGCAGATCCCCCGTTGGCGGCGTAGCGTAGGGAATGCCCAGGTATTCGGAGACATTGGATCTCTGAGGAGCTGTGTGGCCCTCGATAAGGCCGCTACTGGTCCAGACAGAGGCGCCAACGGGCTGAATTATGGAAACTTGCTGGGACGAGGCTGGCAAAGCTGCTACAAGCATCGATATTGATATAATTGGCCCCCAAAACCGTGCCATGATTGACTATGCGAATAATAAAGTCGCAGGAAGCTTAACAAGCCATGGAAGGAGAGAAAGGAGGATTGAAAATAAACAGAGAGTCAACTTCTCGGCAATCATACCTTGTAGTCGCGGCGTAATTGCTGTGGAGTCCTCAACTCCGCACGGTGGTGTCCCTCACAGATTGATAGTACCTGATTCTTTCCTCAATGGGAATAGTGTAGTAGACAGGCTCAGTTTCGAATCATTAGGAAGACGCTTCGGCGCTGAGAGTGCTGTGTTTCGTTGAGATTTTGTATACAAGCTCAATTGCCTTTGACAAGACCGCTCGTGGAATTACTCCACAGAACAGTCGACATTTCATGTACACAGTAGATGAGAGATCCTATAGCTCCATTGTACTCGAAAATGGCCGATCGATAACTTATGGGTCTAGTTCCAACATACTATAAGAGCTCCGTCGCCTATAGGCCAGTTGCATATTCTATCCACTTGTCAGCCGGAAGCAACGAAACGATCAGTTGAGGAACGCTTCGAGGCCGACCATATCTTCCATAAACTCCAGTATTATAGACACTATATCCAAGAAGTAGGGTCATTAATACATCTAGAAATAGTTGATCATCTCATCATCCTACAAGCCCAATCTCCAGCGAGAAAACCAGCATCATCCAACAGTCAAAAGCTGCTCCATGAAAGCACCATGCCCACGAGCCCGATCATGAAGATGGATCTCCAAAATCCAATGATGCCTCTTTCCATCCTTACCAGGAGAAGTCATCGGCCGATTATTCCCGCGAGCAATGTAAAGGGTAACCCTATCCTTCGGGATACGTTCATGCGGGAAAGACCCAACAATGTGCCCAGCGATATCAGCGCCAAAATCCCACCCAGACTGCTTCGCCTCCACACACGCAATCTCATATAGCTCTTCACCGGTCATATCTGGATTTTCAAGGTAGCGCGACTTGACCGTGTTCCATACGGGCTCCAGCGAATCACGCAGTTGTTTCTTATGCGGGTCATCTCCGAGGACGAAGGTGCGCCCGAAGTCCGCTTCCCAAGCTTCGAAAACGGGTCCTAGATCGACATACAGGATGTCATCGGGTTGGATGATGCGATCCGGAGGGTTCTCGGCAAAGGGTTTCAACGTGTTGGGGCCACTTCGAATGACCCGTTTGTGCCAGTGGGTGCGCACTCCGTGTCGTTGGGCGAGCTCGTAGATCTCGTCGCTGAGTTGCTTTTCACCCACGCCAGAGCGCAGGAGATCTCGCTCGATCTCATCAAAGAGCTGGATGGCTTTGTTTTGGGCGTCTAGCAGGTATGCTGCCCGTTCATCTGCTTCTAGACTTGTAGGATTTCCTGCCATGGCGTTCGAGGGTTTGAGATTGCCGTAATAGCGTTTGGGGGAACACTACCCAGGGCTTTTGAGATGGCGTAGTATTTATATACCGGCAATGAGTCACGACATAGCTTACAAAAAGCACTTGACCGTATTCCTGTCAGTCTATCAGGTGCGGGGCGTCGATGCGGGGTCTCTTTTCGGGTAAGAAGTAATCTCGTTGGTGCATTCGTGATGGTATACTCGTATCCATATCCAGCTTTCCCGCCTGCATTGGTGACTGCTATATATTAACAGGTGTATTGAATTGACCCGGTTCATTTCCCCTACAGTTGACCAAGCCAGGGCACAAAGCTAATGAACATCTTCTATTTCCCGCGGACTCAACTTGGACATTTGGTGGTCGAAAACTCCGCGGAGTTGCTGACGGTGTTCGTCACTATCTCCGTCTTACCCGCGGTATATGCTTGGAGTCATAGTTGACAAAACTTCATTATATATTGAAAAGCAACTGCAGCGTTGGATTTCTATTAGAAACCAATTTCTATTCAAGGAGGATCAATTTGTCGTTGGGGTTTGTTGCCGGTGTATGACTACCAATGCTGTGTACAAAGAATGGCATTGCTTGCACATGACGGATATCAGATGCCATTATAGTCTCGAAGCATTAGATATAAGTATTTCGATAAGAATTCAAAGGATGAACCGTCCTAGAAAGGAGTTATAGATGTAAATGTAGATGCAAACAAACCCCACTAACCCAACCCAGCAAGCGGTAACCACCCGCTCCACCGCATATAAAACCCACAAAAACAAAACCCCATCTTCATTTTTTCTTTCTCCCCAAGCACCATCCCAACCAATGCTGCGTTTCTTTGCTACACACGATCAAGGTCAAACTTGATCTCTCGACCGTTGACCCAACGGCCCGAGAACACCCGCAAATGAGAAATTCGGAGGAATCTTCACCTTACCCAGTAACCCGCTCTCCACCTCTCTCGAGAGATGGGGAGCCGGTACTGCCCGCAAGGGCCTGGTGTGAATCAAGACAGCCTCTGACTTCGGTCAGAGGAGGTCGCACATCTGCAATCGGCATCAGAAACATCGGGGCTCGGGCATTGTTCGAGGTTTCCCCATGGGAGAGTCGTTGCGAAGATTGTGTGTGCGGGCTAATGCCCGTGCGACACTTTAGTGCAATACGCAGCATGCTATACCCCTCTTCTTTGGAGGAGGGGATGGTAGAATTCGATTCCGATCATTCTGGTTGGGATGGTGCTTCTTTTTCTTCTAGGTGAGTGGTTATTGTCAGACTGGGAAGAGCAGTGTGTCCCTGGCTAATCTGTCGGGGGTGGGTCCTTTTTGGTCCTGTTGCCTCTTTTTTTTTTTTTCCTTCTAGGTATTGGTAGTTGGGTGGTATAACAGGATTTGGGGGTATATAGAGCTTATAATGAAATAAATTGACTTTATATGAATATATCTTGGGATGTGCACTTGCGTAGTGCAGATACTACTGCTCGTATATTCCAAACTCTGCGTAGTCTACTTTGTATCCCCGCTGTGTACCAAGCTCATCAGGAAAAAGTACTTTTATTCAAGCCACCAGTACCCAATGGAAATGTAAAGAAAACACAATCGCTTCATATCTAACTGGGATATTATGATAACAAAATCCTTTGTTCCGTCAACGTGGGATATTTCCGAATGTAAAAAGAAACCCGCAAAGAAATCATTTCCTGCCCCTTCGTAAATTGTATATTTTGCATTTTTTTTCTTGTTTAGTTTACTCCTCGTCACCAATCTAAGTTACGTTAGCATCCTCTTCTGTTCCAAAAGATAGTGAGTATAGGAAGTTTACCTTAGGAGCGAGGTAGAATCTCAGGTGACCACTTCCCAGACCGTACTCAACAAGAAGGGGAACCTCCTGGGACAGGCAGAGGGTCACCGTGCTGGAGAGAGTGGTGGCCTTGCAGAAGTTGACGAGGTACTTGAGGGAGAAAGTAAGGGCAACGGGTTCGGAGAGAGCAATGGTAACGTTCTGGTCGGGCTTCTCAACGTTGGTGTGTTGACGGATGGTGACGGATCCACTGCCAATGTCACCCTGGCAGGAGAACTTGACGCCTTCCTTGGTAGCCTCAATGACAACTGAAACACCAGTCAGTAACTGCACGGGAATAATGGTCCCAAGACTGGACGCATCGGGCGAAGGAAATGAAATAGGTTCACGAACCAGACTCGGAAAGCGCGTTAAGGTCTCTGCAGATCCGCTGGAACTCTGCCGAAGGCATCTCGACGGTAGCGGCATACTCAGTCTCGGGGATTGCCAGGTGCTCCTGGTCAATGTCCATCAACTTGATATCATATTCGCTTAGCCTGTCGGTCTCGGCGCTCTCGAACATCAGGTTAACGGCGTCCGGTGAGTCGTCGGCCTTGAGAGTAAGGATATCTTCGTTCTGAGCAGCCCGCAGGACCTTGGTCAAGGAGACCAAGTTAATACCGAGAGCAATGTTGCGATCACAGCGGTATGGGGAGAAGCCTTCGGCCTTGAGGAGCATGGAAACCAGGGCTACATGGGAGTTATCCATGGCCTGGAGGGCGATACCAGAGTCATTGCAGTCAAAGTTGCAATCCTGCACCAGATCCTTGATAGCGTCGACAACCTGAACAACCGAGTGCTAGGTCAGTGACAGAGCAAGGGTTATCTGGAGACTGTAGTCACATACACGCTTGAGGAGAGAGGCTTGTTCTAGGCGAGCTTCCAACACTGAGATAGCAGTTAGACAGCAATTCTGTGAAAGTGACAAATTGTGGGATAACTCACTCTTGATCTGTGTGTGATATGGATGTGATGGTGACAGGCAAAAGAGTTAGGTGAGGAATTCAATGTCAAATAGATTCTGGAATTGAATTTGGTGATATCAGTTTGTTTGTTCAATGGAAGATTCAAAATGCTTGTGTGACTTACAGGTAGAAGGTGGACTGAGAGAAGTTAAGAACTCAAATAGAGGAGAAATTGCCATTTACAAGGTAAGGTCGCGTAGTGGGGAAACGCGTTCACGGGTCGCGCGTCATGCCTTAGGCTGATATGAACATTTCGGGTTAGCCTTTGCTGCCTGGATTTGACGTAAGGGTGCCAAACTACCTCCCAATAATTTAGGTCTAGCACTAGTATACCCACACCATGATGCCCTGAGAAAGATATTGCAATTACCCATTGCGACTAGCTGTTCAAGAATGTCTTGCATTTGAATGATTATATACTATATACAAAGCTTCCCAAATTTACATAGGAAATTACCTGGCAGTGGGCCAGCGTTAGCGAGTAACAATACAGAATGAAACATGCCAAAAGAGCGCGTCAAGCTGAAATACAACATGGAAAAAAAGAAAGAAAAACATGTACAGCAATAACGAAAGAGTACACAATCAAAGCGTAAAATACACCAGAAGAAAGATAAAGGTCCAGCCCAGAAAACGCCATTGACACCGGTCCACTCTATTTACATTGGGTATCAACCTGCATGGTCTGCTGACCAGCTGTCACAGTTCACTCCAAACAACAGGACTCAGGAGTATGTAGGGGTACAAGGAGGTATAATATACGCGAAGAGAGAAGGTAGAGGGAGGAGGAAGCGGGGGTATGTGAGAGATCAGATGCTGGTAATCCGCTTCGAAGCTCCTGCTGGTCGTTGCTTGATAACCATCTCAAGTTCCTTTAGCATGTTGGTGTTCGCATCAAGGCGCTCGCGTGCCGCTGCTTGTTTCGCTCGGTCTTCTTTGACCCGAGCGATTCGCTCCTCTCTCGTCAAGGATTGTCTCTTGCTACGGGCAGGGAGAGCAACGGCTTCAAAAATTTCTTCCTCGTCATCGATGGTATGGATGATGCTGGAATCCGGTCTTTCGCCATTCAAAGCTTTAAGCGCATCGGATGGACTACCTTCCACCGCTGTGGTACCACCTAGGCTAGGAGTGGGCGACGACGGCAGCTTCCAGTCACTTAACGGTCTCGAAAGGCGATCCACATTCAGTCGTTTATCTGGCGTGTTACTCATCATGGCGGCTTTACCATCCTCCCATTCTTGGAGAAGGTTTTTAATATCCGTTCCAATTGATTCGTAGTGAGAAGCAAGAGTCACTTCATTCTCGTCCTTCTCATCAGCATCCGTTTGTTCCAGACCGGCACTAGACATTTCTCTGATGAGGTGCATTTTTGCGTGAAGCGCACGGATTGCCTGTGAGAGAGAGTTAAGCTTCCGATATTGCGCACGGAGATGCTCCTTGTTAGGAGAAGCCGTGGGTAAAGGAGAACGAGGAACTTGGTTGCCTAGAAGATAGGTTAGAGGGATCGCTGACAGGTTCACTCTCGTACTCACTGTCTTCCTCATTAAGAATGTTGGTCATCTTCTCGGTATATCTGCCGGTTACCTCGGCCAGGTCCTGCATTTGCTCGATAGCGATGGTCCACCGCGCGATATCGGAACCTCCTCCATCGGCACCCAAAGCCAATAGGCAGCAGAGTATGCTCTTTCTCACGATATATAACCGTCCGAATAGGGTGCGAAGAGCGCGTAAGGAATATTGATCTTCAGTCGCCCGCTCAGCGAGTGCTGATTCAGCCTCCGCCAATTCTTCCGCCGAGACATCGTAGATGTCATAGTATTTGGCCAGGTTGTCGTTGTCCGTGACAGGTTGCAAAGAGTGTTGTGCCTGTATATACCGTCTCAACATAGCATAAAAGCATTCCGACACAGTCCGACGCAGCCTCAAGCACCGCCGTGTTTGCGCTTGATCCTCGAGTCTAGAAATGGGAGGCAACGGCGTGCTTCTATGATTGATTTAGTTACTAAGATCCTCTAGCTACCCGAAGGGGAGTAAGAGAAGGCTGGCTTACATGCGGTAACCTCTGGAGACTAGCTCGACCTCCTGTATGAACACGACCGATGCGGACGCAGCAGAATCAAACCCCTGAGCATAGCCGATAAAAAATCCCGCCGCATCCACAGCTTGATGTCGCAAATACTTGAGCCATTGTCGTTTTGCGAATGCGTAAAACAGAACACCGATTACGGGCACTAAGACTAATAGTACGCCGACTTTCCGAGGGTTCAGGCCTGAGCCCGTTCGAGGACGACTCCAGTGCAACAACCAAGCGATAGAGAAAGATGTCGAAGCTGTGACAACGGCGCCCTGTAGCCCAAAAGTTGAGGAGATTGACGGGAGATCTGTCGAACGCGAACTGGACAGCACATCCGCAGCCGAAGCATAAGAAGGGGCGCTATGCTCGTTCAGCAACTGCGACGCGACGATGACATAACCGAATTGTTCCAGAAACCTCTCATTATCACTTCGTCCAACACGCGAATTCAAGGCCGACTGTAGACCTCATCAGCTTAATGGTAATCATGGATAGTGCAACGGCGTAATTGGAACCCATACCGTACAGGCGTCGTAAAGCCTGCCTAGAGCCGCTTTTTGATGCGAAGACTTTAGGTCTAGTGGTCTAGGGAGCTTATTCCGGATCCGCTCTTGGAATTTGGACGCTCCTCGCGGAGCGAAGTCCGCCGCTGTCGATTCGGAGGCGATATCGCTATTCTCTGTCTCCTTAACGGGCCAGCTTGGGTCGTGCTCACCCTCCCCTGTTGCGCATCAGACCTCTGTGACGCAAGAAAACTAGAGGTTATATGAACTCCTGAAACGAAAAAAAGAACTCACCTTGGAGATACTCCGCCAAAGGCGAGTTTTCATAGACAAGAGATTCCATGGTTGGTGGGCATGCCGTAAGCTTGGCCGATAGGGAGGGGGCGGGTAATGTGTCTGCTCGGTGCTGGGTCTATTCGGCGGCGGCGATGGCTTCGTGTTATTAAAAATATTATAAGGAGCGTAAGAAGGGGTATGGTAAGGAGCGTAATGGGAGTCGGATTATAGAAGGATCATCTCCGAGTGAGAGTCCAACAACGCGATGTGGCGGACGTGATGGTGTAAGAAAGGCAACAATCAATTGCGGAACAATCGGGGGTTCAGATGTGCTTCGGAGGGTAAAGAGCGCCGATAAACAAAGGGAAATTCAGTGTTCACAGCGTGTGGATTCGAGTTCAAACCAGCCTCTTTTACCCCTGGCGGATAGTGTAAAAATAGTGCAAGCACAGTGAGCCACGTTGAAGATCCGGTCCATGTGTGTCTGGGGAAGGGGAGGTTTTGGATGCGTTGATTGTCGAATCGGAGACCGGATCACCGTTCGGAACAGGTATAAGGCCCAGTGTTCATGCCCACTGGACTAAGCCACTCTTGGCCAAACTTATGGTTTTTTGGTTTTGACCCCCTTCTCAACGGGGCTCTTCGGTCAAAGCCTTTTAAGTAAATTGTTTTGCCTACACAGTACTACTAGGTACCAGAGTGTAGACACCACAGGGCTGTGTTTTTTTTTTCTCTTTCCTTCCCTCTATATATGTGTATCTGAGTCAGACCTGTAATATCCCAATTTAAGCCTTCCTCACTACACCATTAAATCTCACCATGCCTTATGAAACAGCCTTTTCGCAAATTCATACCGAATAACCGCCATCTTGTGAAGGCCGACGGATGACGGCGGGGTTGGCCGAGGCCCATGCATCATACTACCACTAGGCAGAAAACTGTCGTTTCATGTTGACTATAAACTAGGTTCTCTTTACCTTTCTATTTGTTATCGTGACGGATTTAATTATCCTGTTCTACTTGCTGTCTTAAAAATTAGCAATTTAATACAGCCATTGCAATATCGACGCATAACCTGAATGGCTCTCCACGGAACAACATTCATGACTGACTGAGTAATTCAATTTCAAGACATCCCTGCATTCAGAATGAAACGATAATGATCAGACCACATGTTAAAATTCAGCAGGAAAGCTTTTCCACCAGATTTTCGAGGAATTCAACGTGATGGATACCTTGAATCTCGGTCCCAACCTAATTTACCGATAAAGTCACGGGCCAAATGAATAAAGGCCCGCTAAGCCTGATGAAGCAATAATATGCAAACCATCTGGCACACTCGATATTCTTCAAAGTGGAGAACTTTCGCTTCTGAACAAACTCATCGTAATCGTATCCCAACGGCTCTGATGGCGATTCCAATTGAAAGGTACCTTATCTTCAGGATCTCGCCAAAGCAAACTAAGACTCCGTTAAGCTATAGGAGCAATCGTCGCATCTCAGCCCCAAACCTTATGTGAATGTCAGCCTCAGTCAGATTGTCCAATGAAAATGGGCATATTTCAACTTCATACATTTATCATGAACTTCATTCGAGGATCAGATTCGGGACTTCACCGAAATGCCGTGTTTTGGCCCAGAAAATGAGTCGAACCAGGTTTTAGCGATGTTTAAAGTGCTGCTCCCTAACCAACTCGTCATAGCCATATTGGCCATCCACCTATCTCCTTCGCCGGAAATGTAACTCCCACATACTTATATGCAGCTTGACGTGGACGTGCATGAAAATGGTTGGACAACGACAAGGCTCAGCTCCGTTTACCAGCTGGCCAGAAAATCTTGTGCTTCGCAGCTATTTTGACAGAGAGTGGTTGTTATCCCTTTCTACATCCTGCGGAGCTTTTCTTTTTCTCTGTTTCCTTTTCTGCTCTTTTCGAGAAGAGCGCGGGATAGAATATGGAACTGATCATCGGTCTCTGTCTGTTAGCGCCACTTTTATTCCTTTGTACCCCTCTCAGGCGCTTAATCGGTTTGAATGCAGCTGAACTTCCACTTCCGCCAGGCCCAACATTACTTTCCGGGCCCTTTCCGGAGAAAGATATCGCCAAAACATTTCAGAAGTGGAATAAAAAGTATGGCTCCATAGTGAGCGCAAAGATTGGAGCCCAGCAATTCATCATCCTGGGGAGTCGTCGAGCAGCCCAAGATCTACTGGAGCGGCGAGCAAGTATATACAGCTCGCGCCCCGCGTCAAAGTTCTTGGATAAATACTTGCACAAGGGACTGGCATCTTCTTTCATGCCATATGGTGCCCAGTGGAGACTTCATAGACGACTGGGCTCGTCGCTCCTCAGTGAAAGGGCTTCAATTGCCTATCGTCAGCTCCAGGATTTCGAGAGCAAGCGACTTCTTCGTGAGTTCTTATCCACGAATGACTTTTCAGAGGCCTTCCTCAGCTATACTTCAGACATCATGTTCACGCTTGTATACGGAAAAGGGAGAGGAAAGGACGATAGTGACCATAAGATGTTATACCAAATAAATGAAATGGCCACATTTGTCCTTCAGAAAGCTTCTTTCGGAACGATTTTGCTTGACCTTTTCCCCATGCTCGACTGGCTCCCACATTGCTTCTTGACCTGGAGAAAGAAGGCCGAGGAGCTCCATTATAAGACCAAAGAAGTTTATACCGAATGCGGCAACATTGCACTTGGCGGCGACTGCTGGAACTGGAGTCATGAGGTCTCTCAGAGAAGCGAAGCCAAAGAGCTCCCCTGGGAAGAAGTCTGTTACGCCCTGGGCGAACTTTACGTAGCCGGAATTCATACGACTAAGATGGTCTTGGAGATATTAATTATGGTATGCGTACTCCATAAAGAGGTGAAACAAAAAGCACAAGCAGAGCTAGACTCTGTTGTCGGCGAGGACCGATTGCCATCGCCCGACGACCTTGAAAAGCTTCCATACATCCGAGCTGTCGTGTCTGAACTCCTTCGCTGGCGCCCTATCTCTCCAATTGGAGTTCCACACGCGGTCATACAAGACGACGAGTACATGGGCTACCGTATCCCTGCCGGTGCGACGGTAGTCGCAAATCAGTTCGGGATGAACATGGACGAGGCGATTTTCGATAACCCCGCAGCTTTCAATCCCGATAGATATCTCAACAACCCGGACCTTCCAGTCTCCGCTTTTGGTTTTGGACGGAGAATATGTCCTGGTCACCGACTCGCGCGAGGGAGCTTACTGATCGTTACTTCACGTCTGCTCTGGGCCTACGATATCACGTCGGCACAGGGGGATGCTGATCTTAGCGACGAAAGTAGTCCTTCTTCCGTCAAGGCCGTGTTTCAACCAAGGAGCCTAAAACACGAGCAGGTGATCAAGAAAGAGTGGGACGATTCGGACAAAGACGAAAAGCAAATCTTAGAAAGGATCGGAAGCCGTATTTGACGCATGGAAATCTATCTGCTTACAGAAGATTATCCTCAATTACAGAGTACCTCAATTAAAGTCCAGCTGTGAACTCCGAGCCGGACTACAATCTGAGTCATTAACGAGATCTGGATTTTCAATTCAGGAGTGAAGGGCTCTGTATATACCATATCGCACCTATAGCCTCGAAACTATAGGCGAGTTGCAACTTGAATGTGTTGTTTTATCTTCTAAAGGAAAGGAGTTAATGATGCCTGTATGATTGCAAGACTTTCAAAAACTATAAATCTATTGTTGAAGGGCATTATATTCACACTATTCTGTAGATTAATAGCTATACATGCAAAGCGCAAGTCGAGGCACATCAGGCAGAAGCCATGGAAGGAAACAAGGCGCTGTACCCTCAGAGCACACTCAGTTAACTTCTCCCTTGACAAAGCAACTTAGTGATTCTATTACTAAAGGATAATTGCTCAGACAAATCGATGGTAGTAGTTGCCGCAAGCTGAGACATACATAGGACGATGTGATGCCTCAGGCACAACAGCGTTGCACCAGCAACCACAGCGTCAACATCGCGTCCCCATCTCCATACCTCGCAATCCACGGGTCCAACATCCGTAAACCAATAAAGATTTAGCTACCTTTGCCTTATCATCTGAAAGGTACAATTTTAGTATCCAACATAGCAGATCAACAAACCGTATCTTCTACGCGACGATCTTCCGAGAACTACCGGTTGTTTGCCCCCGCGTTGCCCCTTACTTTTTAACTACGTACCCCTCGACACGATATCACAGGCTTTGTTTCAGTGCAAAAAACATTCTGCGAGAGACATGTCCTTATAAGGGCTTATACCGTTTATTACACCACACTCATTTCACGTCAGTTAGACTTTGTTGGACAGCATCATGTCAGGTCTACTAGGAGAAGTCGGCACCCCGTGCCCATCGAGATCATCTCGGTTTGACCGCAGCAGCGGAGATAGCTCGTTTAGCAAGCTCTGGGAGGATAGCTTGGAAAACTGTGACGAGACGGCCAACATCGAATTCACCACCGAGATCAAAGCACCGCTTCTTACGGCAGTCAAGCCCCGTCGACGGACAAAGACCGGCAGCTCTTTTGCTATCCACGATGAGGGTGAACAGAATTTCATACAAACCGCTAACCCGAAGAGAAGGGAAACCCGCCCACCAATCGCCCCTTCAGGTCGCAAGATGTCGTTACTAGCCCAGCCGGCTCAAAGGTTCCGTCCGAAGGTTAGCTTCACGGCTAGTCCACCCAGGAATTTGAAGCCACTAGGAGAGCCCGAGAAGAAATTGCGGAGTACGAAGCTAGACACCCAAAAGAATAGGGAGCTTCTGATGCAGATTAATGGGAATGGACGTCAAACTCCTTCGAAAAGTGCTCTGAAGACTGATGTACGCCGCAACACGGTGTATATCCCGCAAGATGACACCACGGTTGCAAGCATGTTTATGGGTATCCTCAGCCCTAGCAAGTCTACCAACGTGCAGGACTGCGTCTCGGAGGACACTCATGTTAACACCTTAGAGTCACAGATCGCTAGGAAGCGGCAGGCAAAACGTTCTTTGGCCTCATCTGCGCAGCGAGTTCCGCTTCAACCAAGCACAAAAGTCAAGCAGGAATCACGTATTCACGTCGATATTGCTGGGAAGAACGGCGGGAAAGAAAATGTTCCCCCTGGGACTGTTTTTCTCGGCAAGGGTAAGGGCAAGGTTTCTCAGCCCGTGAAGATCAATAACGAATTGGAAAACCCTCGACAAGCTTCGAAACCTGCACAAACTCAACTGTGTGGATACTCTTCTACAAAGCCCACGAGTCCACTCGCAGCAAGGTCCGTTAACGGTACTGTAAAGCGAACAGTGATGAGAGAAAGTAGAAACAACGTCAAAGCACCATCCGCTCAAGTGGCAGGAGAGAGCAACAAGGTGGAAATGCGAAGAGCAACCGTCAATCGAACCCCATCAGTTTCTAGAAACTCGACGTTTCCCAACACGTTGAGGAACTCTGAGATGCGTGTCAACCATTCTAAGACCTCGGTAGTGCGCCCTAAACCGAAACATATTGATGACGAGTATCCGCTGGTGAAGGAGGATATCATAAACCCGGCAATGTATGAAGACGACTGGCTTTCTCACCAGGAGATCATGATAACACAACTGGCCAATAGGCTTTTCGATCAAACCAACGAGAGGTCAAGCTTCAAAGATCCAACAGTACTTCGACATGCACTTCTCCAGCTCTATCAAAACACGCCATTTGCACATCTTTATAAGAGGGTTCAAGCATCGTTACTATATGGTGCCATGAGTATACCGAAGGACGTGCTTGTACGGAATGACCGGCTGCAGCAGGATGTGGGAATGAAGCGCAAATTCTTAGACTTCTGGATGCAAACATATGACCCACGGGCGTTACGAGCCGCGGTGGAGACAATCACAGGAAGGAGGATGACCGATAGCAAATTGGCTCAGGAGAGTAGTCATAGCCATCTTGAAATGGACTCTGGCAACGAGAAAGCACTAAAGCGAGGGCTAGAAAACTTCCTAAATACCTTTTTGCTGCAAAACCAAGACATGGAGAGACATGCTAGAGTATTCGGCGGCGGTGATTCAGACGAGGTAGGCACAGCATATCATCGAACCGCTCTTCGCAGCATCATGATCATCATCCTCTTGGATAAGGGAATGGCAAGCTCCGGGACGGCACTTCCTCCTTGTCTTTTCCTTCGTTCATCCCAGTTCAAGTCCTCTGCCGCTGTGCTCCAAGCTTTGGCTCGCTTTCTCCTACCCTCTTCCGGAGACATCATCAAGACGCTTGGTCATTTAGACTGCCAGTTGGTCTATGAGCAAAACGCGCTGCAGGAGTACGACTACCAGATAAGCAACTTAGCTGTCGACATGAGGGATGGTGTCCGGCTAACTAGGATTGTGGAGTTACTACTATATCCGACCAACGTATGTCTCGCAAATGGAGAGCGTTTGGGGCCGCTTTCACACGGGCTAAAGCTTCCATGTCTTAGTCGCACGGTAAAGCTGTTTAATGTGCGAATTGCTCTGGATGCATTGGCTGGCAGCAAAAGCTCCCACAAGCTGGTTCGTCGTATCCGTGCAGAGGACATAGTCGATGGACATCGGGAGAAGACCATCGCACTTCTATGGGGGCTTGTTAGCCAATGGAGCCTCACGGGGCTTGTCGATTGGGATGATTTGAGCAAGGAGATCGATCGTCTGAAACAAAAGGCCATCTCTCAGTATGGGCATGAGTCAGTCAAGGATGAAGGATGGTTCAAGAGAGATTACGATGGACCATACGAGCAGAGCAACGATGCTACATTGTTGCTTCGACAATGGGCCTCTATCCTGGGATATTTGAAGGGTCTACATCTGGAAAACTTCAGCACCAGCTTCGCGGACGGCAAGATTTACGAAAGCATTGTGGATGAGTATGAGAGCTACATACTCAAAGGGGATCAGCCCTCGGCTACGGAACTCAAGGGGCCACTATCCTCGCTGCAGTCTCGCCTCAGGGCGCTGGGATGCAGTGCACAGCTCGGTAAGTCATCTGGGGACTGCACATCCAGGAGCACAACTAACAATCACTAGCGTATCTCATTTCTCCTGGCTCTTCAAGATCGCATATCCTCGATAGTGACTTCACACTGGGGGCACTCACGTTCCTCTGTTCTCGATTTCTTTCCGCGACCAAGCGTGCTCGCGCGGCGACAGTTTTGCAAAAGAGATGGCGACGAGTCCTTGCGCACCGAGATCTCCAACGGCGGACAGTCGCCCGAGACGTCGCTAGACAATGCGCAGCCGTCGTGCAGACCAGAGACCGAATCCTCTGGGCCAAAGAGATCATCATCCAGTGGTGGAGAATGGTGAAAGCGCAGCAGCAACGGCACAACGGCACAGACAGCCAGTACGAGAAGCAGATCTCTATGTCCAAGGGGGTCCCTCTACGTGGCCAGCAGTCTCCGTACTGAGCCCGGACGTTTCGTCTCCCCCGGTTGCATATTGGGCATTGGCAAGACAATGACTTTTGTATGGAGTGGAGTATAGGGTACGATGTCAGGAGATGAGCCATACCTTTCCTTTGGTTGGCTGTACTATTTTGGGCGTCTCCAGGATCAAACATCGCCGTTGTCCAGTGTTATGTCCCCAAAAGAAGAATACTATTATCGTAATGCATAAAGAGAATCGAAACCACAAACCACACACACACATACACACCTAATCCGTAAGGTATAGACACGCAACCAAAGAACAAAGCCCAAACAAAATCCCTCAGCGAACTTTCCACTTTTGACGTCAACCCAACCACCTCATGAATGTCATTATGCTTCGAACAAACAAACAAACAAAAATAAAGAAAACCCAACGAAACAAAATCAAATAACAAAAAGCAAAAAGCAAAACCCCCCACCCCCAAAATAGAAGCCCCGGAAAAAAGTTACCAGGCTTCGATAATCCTCGCCACTTGAAGTCCCGGAACAAAAACTTCTTCGTTGGAACTTTGCTGACCATGACATCATTCCTCGATTCATCTGACCAACATCCCCATTTGTCTTTCTGCCTATCACCGTCCTTTTTCCTCGGAGAAACGATTAGATTCGGGTGGACGGACGCAGAGAGTTAACTTTCTATTATCTAAGGTGTGAGAGGGTCCGGTATAGTCTGCATTAGTTATATGCTTACTTGACTGTTTTGTGGATGGTGACGGTGGGGGGGGAGACTATGATGTTATGTTATATGTTATAGTTTTCGGGTGTTCAGTATATCGGGTCATGGTTATGGCTACTGTGTATTGGGAGATGAATTTATAATTCTTCTTGTTGTTGCCTTTGGGACTTACGTAGTTGGAGGATATACTTACGTACTGTGGTGGTGGGAATGATGTTATGTCTATACTAGTATATCTCGGGTGCTACTACTGATTGATTGATTGGCAACCACTACTAGAACAATAGTACTCATAGTGCCAGTAAGTGTAATACCCAGTCGATCGAGCGAATAGTTGTCTAGTTAATTAAAATGAATAGATGACATTACATAAACCACAGCATTATTGGGGTCTTCCAAGACAGCGGTTAGTAATGAGATTGTTCTGGTTTGGTTGATTCTTGGGTTTGTTACTTTATGGATGTGGTAAGCGGATGAATAACTTACATAACTATGCATGCTATGTTGCTGTTAGTAGTTAGTTGGTGGTTAGGTGTAAGTTATTGGCGGGGACGGTGTTTCGAGACGGTTGCTTTTTGGGAATTTCTGGGGGTTTGTTTTGGTTTTTTTCTTTTCTGTAGTTTCGTCTTGGAGTTCCCCTTTTTTTTTGGGTGGCTGTTTCGGGTTTCGTCGCTGTTTGAGGTGATATACTTTGGATGTTGTCTCTGTGCTGAGGTGGATATACTAAAAAGTCTATGTGATATGTATGTATGTATATCATATTCTATTCTGTTCATAAGATAAGACATTCGGCTTGCTAATGCACTCTTATCTGAGGGCAGATTCTAGATTAAGAGATTTTCTTTTTTCAATTTGTAGTGCGATTTGTAAATATACTTTGGGATTAGTCCTGACAGACGAAGAGGCTCCTGCTTGAGTCATGATGCCGGTCGGAGGCCGTCAGCGAGGCAGCGCATGCGCCGAGTCTAGAATTTGAGTCATCAGGGGGTTTTCTACAGGATGAGTCTGCATCTCCAGTAGGCAGCACTATTGAAGTTTGTCCCGGGAGCAGTTCGTCCGTCTCCTAAACGAGCCAGCGTGCCGAGCCGTCGACGTAGTGATGATTTATCATTCTTACCACCGCTGGCTATTTGCAGAGGATCGACGAGATCTGCCTCCACTGCCTCCAGAGGACGGGGCCTCCGCGGTGTCCGAGAGAAAGGCCCGCGCAACCGCTTGGGAATGTGGGAGTTCTTGGCCGCACTTGGCAGCGTAACTTGAGAAGAGGACGGTCTCGCGACAGTCACACTAGAACGCGCAAGGAGCGAAGAATGCAAGTCGACGAAGGGTCAGACGGTTCTTGGCGGATTCTCCGTGAGACGGAGGCGAGGCGCAGCCATCGCAGCGTTGCCAAGAGTTGTTGTGGAATGGGCCATGACCAGCCAGAAGGGGAGGCGTAAGGGGGTTTCGATGGAGGAGAGAGGCAGATTGGGAATGTTTCTGTCTCCCTCTGGATGCATGGGGACATACTGGTTATATCTTGGCGGCTCTTGGCCAAGGTCTTGGCTGCTCATAAAGTTCCAGGGGGGGTTGTGGGCATACAGAAGCAGAAGTAAAGTTGGGAGAATGTCGATCATCAGATCAAGTGAGGTGCCACTCCATGAAATGCAATCTCCCCTTTTCCCTTTTCCTGTTCCTCTGGGGGTGGATGGAGTGCATGACAGCTCCTCCGTCCTGTACAGATGGAACTACATTTAGGTGGCATTCGGGCCGAGTGAAAGGGGCGTGAGTTTATTGTTTTCTGGAAAAGCCTGGTTAGCCAATGAGCGGTTCAGCAAGGGTCATTCCATATGTGACTTGGTTACACAATTTCCATCTTCAAGAATCGCTTTCTTTTCTGGTTTGTTTTGATTCTTTTCATTCCCCCCCTTGTGTGGGCTGGGTGAAATTACCACGCACGGGGAAATACTGGTACCCCCCCGTATGGGACTATACCCCCCGCAGGTATTTCGTATTCGCATTACCGGTTCCTGTTTAATGAAGAAAACCATCGTGGGTCCAGTCAGACAATGGAGAACCACCTCAATGAATTGTTTGCATAACAATGGTGGACTCTGCCATGGGGACTATAATTATCCCGCTCAAAAGGACGATCGATGGAGAGAGGGAAATAAAAAAAAGGCACCGTGCAGATGTCATGGTCGAAAGAAAGGAAAGGTCGAATTGCCTCGTCCTGGTTCGCACACTAGTGGTAGTGTTTTGTGCTCGAGAGACACTCTTTGATTCGACAATGGATGGAGGTGTTGCCGGGGGATTGGAGAAAGCTGACCATGCATGAGGGGAAATGTATACTATAGTATCCGTACTCCATACGAGTACTTCTGTAATACTAGTAGTAGCAGACAGACAGTGTCTGGAGAGAACCTCAGGAAAGACTGCACCGGATGGGGTTGGTCCAACTTGCCTGCCTCAGGCTTACCCAGATTGGGTCAGTCTTGCATCGTGACTAAATGGCCTGAAAGGACCGGCGTGAAGCCAGAGAGTCCCGTGCACGCCCGCTCCCCCCACCAGCACGAACGAGTCCCATAAATGCCTCATACAAACGCTCATCTTTGAAGTCTCTGCCGCCGTCGGCCATCATCGGCCCATGTTTGATAAGCCGTTTGGTGTTTATGCAGCCCTTATCCAATCTTACGTTTATAGCTCCGTCCCGTTATACAGCAAGCCATTTCCCACCAAACATCTATCTCCTGATCCCAGACTTTAACCGAAATGCCTACGAGCTAAAGTAACCCACTGTACAACTGGCAGTTCACGACCTCCACCCAGTCGCCTCTCGGTGGTTCGATGCAGCTCCCATCCCCATCGCAGAAAGGGCTGGGGGAAGGGAAGTAACCCAGGGTGTAAAATCTTCCCGTGTGGACAGCGTTCTGTCCGGAGCCCTGCCACATAAGCTGGGATAGTGTAGGACCTACTCCTTTAGGCTGACCGGTGACTGAACGCTGCGATGACCACAACGCATCGACCAGCTGGACGCTCGACTGGGTCTGCCCACGAGCTCGATGCTACATGCGATCTCACTCCGCAGCGATCTGCTTAAACTTTGGTCGGATTTTTAACCGCGAGAAGTCAGATGCCCCTTCCCGGTCTTATGCATTGCGTGTATCAGACTGGGACATGGATCTCCAATATTTGCGTGCGGAGAGAGAGCGTCGCAATCAATCTTCGTCCAATGTCAATGACTTGCGTTGGAGAAGACCACCTTTTCCCTTGTCCCATTCAGCCCTGAGACGGCAAGTTAAAAAATTACCTAACTGAAATGGGCAACCCGAGTAGCTCGTATTTCGTTCTTTTCTTGTGCTCACCAGGCAAGATGCTTGCTTGTGAGAGCAGAGCGGGATGATAGTTTCTAACCATTATGATTTGCTGCGATGGGAACAGAAACATCAGTACCGAATGAGAGAGAGTTGAACAGTCAGAGAGAGGGGAGACGGAAGAACGGGTTAAAAACAAAAGAACAGAGAAAAAAAAAAAAAAAAATTGAAAGAGAAGAAAAATCCACAGAGGAGCCCGAGTAAGGCGTGGAATAAGTGGGGGAATCCCTGAGTCGCATGAAGCTTGACCAAGACTCAAGATTTCCACGGCGTTTGGTTCTCTCGTTGGTGATCCAAGATCCTTGAGACTCCGCTTGAATTTGATGTCACGGGAGTCCATCTGACCGCTTCTCTTGCTGGGTCAGGCATCACCAACTCAGTTTCCTTTATGTTATCGATATGCTCCATGCGACAGATTATCGGCCTCTTCTTTGAGGGCATCAGGCTTTGGCCACTTTCGAAGGTATTACCATTCTTTCTCGCTCTGTTTAGACTTTCTCCCATACCTTGCACAGAGGGCCGGGACTTGGCACATCATGTACTGTGCATGTACTCTGTACGGGGGGCAGGTTTGAATCTGGATAGACGCAAGTTGAGGCGGTGATCTTCAGAGCTCCAACACTGCCTCTGTGCTTCGCCTTTCTTATCATGAATGCCTAAATTCTATTCTAATTTTGGCCCTACGAACTATAATCACATTCTATAACATCATCTCCTACCCTTGCCCAACGAGGAATGAGGATTTCTCGAAGCCTATCCCTGTGGTGATCAATGTGGGGAAGTGGATGAGAAGGTCCAGCGAGCAGAGTTCTAATTCTCAGTAAGCTGCTCGAGCGACTTGATTTGGAGCAATTCTATTGCTCTTTGCCTATGACTAGTCCCATACTTATCTCTGCTCCGAATGGAGCAAGATCATCCTCCCCTGGTTGTTATTTATAATGTGGTGATTAAAATTATCATCGCCGCTGGATAGCCAAGAGCTGCCTATGCCATGCCCAGAACCGGTAGTCTGTAATAGTTTCCAATATTCACAGCACAACCCCCTCCAAATTCGATTCTGGGTGTGGTGTACTGCTGTACGACTGTACGACTGATTTCTCTCGGCAGAGGGAGGTAGAGTCGAAGAGAGCATCATCCATTTTGGTGGCTGCGACTCTCGGCCATCACAGTAGCATTATCCAGTAGTCAATAGCGTCATGGTTGATTGGGTGATCGGCCAAACCCGTGGATTCTGTGGACGGTTGCACTCCCATCGTACTGTAAGTCAGTAACACTTCATCGCTACGCAAGGGGCTTTCGATCCGAGAAATTCCTTGAGGATTCTCTTGCAGCTTCCATTCTTCGGTTGCTATATTCATTCCTTCCGCGTACTTCTTTCTCAATTTTAAATATGTTAAGTTGGACAAACTCGAAGGTACGGTATTTACAGGTAGGATCTCTGTAAAGCTTCTCAAGAGTTGAAGGTACAGAGCACTTCGGGACTGCAACCTACCGCATTAGCCAAAGGAAAAAAAAGAAAAAAAAAAGGAGCCAAGAATACGGATCAGGAACGAATGAACTGTGCTGTCAAGTAAGGAACGGGGCTCGGCGAGAACGTAGGTAATGATTCATTAAGATTTGGTTTCGCCCTTGACTATTCAAGTCTTGGAAATGACAGTATCACCAATAGTACGCGATAGTGACCAGGAGAGTCAGATTCACTAGACTTAATTGTGTTTAACTCGAAGATGAAGGCGCGTAAAGCGCCAGAGATTGTAGGGTTGCTTCTAATTTAGTGCTGGGAGCCGGTTTCGTCCTAGTGACCAGGTGAATCCAAGAAAGCAGTTTGGCCGAGTGCAGCCTCAGGCTGTCAACCGGGTTGGTTACCATTACTCTTCCCGTCCTGGGTCGCTACGGTTGGTACGGTACCAGTAACTAGTTAGGTAAGAGTAGGAGTAGCGGTCGAGGTCGAGTGGCACTTTTGGAGAGTGTCTTCGCTTGTTAGTAATAACAGTCATAATAATATGCGTCTCCAAGTCATCCGAGTATTCTTCATCATTGTCTCCATCGTCACTGAAACCGACGTGCCAGTGGTTTGTCTTTGTCGTTGTTCCGGGGCGGCAATGGCCAGGTAACTTACGGGTACATTACTTGTCGCTCGTCCGGCAAGAGGGCCGACCAAGCGATAGGGCAACCTCTGGGACGGCGTTACGACTTACGAGGGCTGCTGCAGCTCGTGCCGCCCTGGTATCCGTCCTCGTGGGGGTGAAGTGAAATGTACTTACAGTAGTACAGCATGAATCGGTCGCCATCAATAGTTCATCGAGATTTAGTAATATCCATTTTTGGGTCAGATCGAAACAGGATCATGGAATTAACCTTCTAGAAGAATAGGATCTATGTCTTTACTGAGGATACTCTCCGATGGGTTTGTCAGTGCGTTTGGTAAGTGGCATAAACTCGGTCTGTACTTTTCCAAGATGTAGCTCTTGTTGGGCAAATTACTGGCACGGTTTAGTCAGCTCGGCAGCTACCTTTCCCTTTCGGGTAATTCCAGGGTACCTTTCCAAAATGCCTCATAGTCATCTCTCTCACTCGGCGTGAGTCCGGTCCCGATGGGTGAAACCGGCTTGTAACATTCAGTCTTCTTCCAGTCCTTCAAAACTTAGGGTTAACCTACACAGTTTCAGACAATTAGACGAGATGATCTCGCTTCCAGTAAGAAATAGAGATCTTCTTTGAGACAGCATTTCTCGAGGAAGACTTCCTCCCAAATTATCCTCGATCAGGCGATTCTATGCAGTACACCGTCTTTGCAAAAATTACTGTATTACTGTATTTTTTAGCCAGCGTCCCGTAGCCGCAGGAACAGAAGCATGCATCAGTTTGGCGAGTAAAGAGACAGGGTGGGTCCGTCTTGGCGGGGTTGGTTGGACCAAGCGTCTGCAGAAGAAAAGAAGGCCAAGAGAAGATCTCATTCTCGCATTTTTCCTTTTTTTTTTCTTTTTTTTTTTTCCTTTTGCTTGACTAATTGTAGTTGTTCAAGTGTCGTTGACTCTGTGGCGACCACTCCTGACCAGTGACTTTCCCTGACCGATCAAGGCTTCCCACCCCCCCAAAAAGCCAAACCCAGTGCCGCTCTCCCGCGCCCCGTCATAGGATTTTACCCTGATGGGATTTTTTTATTTTGATTTTATTTTGGTTTTAATTATGATTTTTTCCTTTAAACCCTCCCAACCCTCTAAATTACGCTGTACTTACTGTACCGGCTGCTAAATTGTTATTTTTTTTTTTATTTCTATTTTCCTTTTTGATTATTTAATTTTTTTTTTTTTTATTAAAATACACTTTTTGCCCTCCCCTCCCTTCCCAATATCACTTTTTTATTCTCCGACTTCCTCTTAGCATTCCTTCTTCCTCCATCTCGAACTCAAAGCCTACCAGTGCCAACACATTGTTTTTTTTTCTGGAGTTTTTCTTGAACGCGTCTTCTTCTGGCGCTCTTTGAGCTGCCATCTATTGAAGAAGGCGTAGATCGCAGATCTTGGCCGCATACCTGACGCCATCCGTCTCCTTTCCCTGCTGCGCCATACCTCAACACCATGCCTTGTATATCATGACCATCTTCGTCCTTTTTGGGACCCCATTTTCTTCTGCCCTCTGGCTCGATCGGCTGCACAATTGATCGATACTGAGAGAGTATCTTCTTATTCAATATATTTGATCGTTGGAATTATCGGATTATATTCTTTCCAAGCAATTGAATCCTCCAATCCTCGTCGTTGCCACTATTCTTTCCACCGCTCACCATACTACTACCTACCGAACTGTCTCCTTATCCTCACCTACTTTGTTCCTCTCACATCCGCTTTGTCAGTATTAATTTAATCATAAAGTGATGGCCAACTTCCGTGGTGGTGACCGACCTTTCTCGTCGATACAACACATCTTGAAGATGCTACTCTCACCTCATCAGTCCAACAAGTCTGCCCCGCAAGAAAACGCAATGGCTGAGGACATTGATGAACCTCCCGATCACCGGTTCCTGAATACCTCCCAAATGAACGTTGACGACGGTGTGGTTTACGTCAAGTCCCCCACCGCCATGAGTGATAAGAAAGAATCCCTCCTCACTCGTGCCCTCCGGCACAGTCCGACTATAAGCCCGTCCGAAGAGCTGCCCTCCCCCCATGACCGGTCCTTCTACCGCTCGTACCCTCATAGTAACGTGAGCGGTGTGTCGACTGCTGAATTGACTAGCGACGAGGGCCTCAGCAGCCCATCTTTGTCCAGCACTCCCAGTCCACCTCTGCCAGCTCAGCTCTCCAGCAAAACCCCATCAATGGGCAGCAACAAGAAGCTGACCATCCAAACGAGCGAGTCGACTGTTGAGGCCAACCTCGGACGCAAGAGATGTATCAGCTTTGCGTGTGGGCGTAAAACGGAGGAGCCCAAGGCCCAACCACCCACACCGCAACGACCGACCGCGCAGAAGAATGATACCAACCCTACCCCCACAGAGCCTGCGAAGCGGAGGACAGTCCTCACCTTCGTTTGCCCAGCCCGTGATCCGGAGACGAAAAGAGAACGGTCTCCGTGCCGCGGTGTCAATATACGATCACGTCTTCGTGGGTCACCTGCCCCCATCGCTCGCAAGGCGTCCCCTGAGAAGGTTATGTCTCCAGTCGCCCAGGACCAGAAGCTAGCCACCGAGAAGAGGGGTGTACCCACAAGCGGATTGGGCAAGTTTGAAGAATCTGAGGCCACTCGCTTCCACGAGTTCGCTAGCTCTGAGGAGGAAGATGATGAATGGGTCACTAAGTCTGGTGACTATACGGACAAGATCACTATGAGTGATTGTATGAAGAAAGAAATCGCAATTAGGAAACTCGGCGAAGAAGCAGAAGAGGAGGCTCTTGAGGACGAAGAAGAGGGCGACGACGATGAGGATGAGGATGATGACGAGGATGACGACGACTCTTCCAGTGACCTCTCATCGGACGACGGTAACGAGTCAGATAACGAGGCAGGCTTCGCCGATTCAGATGAAAGCGATGATGGCTCCGAGTATGAATTCTGGGCTCCTGCTTCGACCACTGCCGCTACCAGCCCTCTGACCCTCGAGATTCCTCCTGCTGTCCTCCCTCGCAGGGACTCAAACACGTCCTTCGACTCTGGTCATGATGATCTGAGCCGGAGATGGCCACCTGCGCTCTCGGGCAAAGGCATCAACCGTGCTAAGCCTACGAAGATGCGTCCTAGGACTCCCCATCTGCCTGACAGTACTGACTTCGTCTGCGGCACGTTTGACGAAGATCGGCCTCTAGAAGCTGCCTACAAGTCTTGCATCGAGCAGCGTCGGCTTTCCAAACAAATCATCATCCCCCAAGACATCGACCCTAGCTTCCCGACATCGGATCTTGATGAGGAGGATGAGGAGGATGACGACGATCTGGAAGAATCTATTATGGTCGATGAACCGGCTCGAGGAAGGTCCGGAGCTGATCAGACTCGGAAGCAGTCTCCTCGCTTGTCTCCCAAGCGCATGGTATCTCCACCTCCTCCTCGTCGCCATGGCCGCTCCTCCCCGAGACGTCTTCGTTCCCCACCCCCGCCAATGAAGTTGAAGTCCCCGGTTCAAGCCGAACGGATTGTCAGCGATGAGTCCACCCATCTTCAGCCTGGCATGAACATAAGCGAGTTGGTTCAACGCCGGCACGTTACTCGTACCAAGTCGCTGCCTCGGACCCCCAACCCCTTCTTCGCTAAACAGGACGGTTCTTATCGCTGGACCGGTATTGTTCCTCTCCGAGAGTCACCTGAGCGTGAATCATCCCGCACTCGTGAAGTGCATACCAGAGGCCCCATCGATATTGTCGAGGGTCTCGAGAAAAAGCGCCAGAAGCGCAAAGAAAAGTACTGGCGTCAACATTGCCGCAAAGCTGCCAAGGAGCAGATGGTACGGCGACCCATTCCCGGAAAGGGTGCTGAACGGATGAAGGACCTGGGCCTCGCAGTTGCTGAGAGGTGCCGAGCCTACGGCGTCGGAGAAGATGCACAGCTCGTCCTATCTGTCTAGACCTTTTCTTTCTTCATCGGAAGGGATATATGCCTTTCTTGTAAATATTGATTATTCTTAACGATCACCCACTCGTTGACTGTTGTTTCCTACCTGGCTGATGGCTTTCTGCTTCGGAGGACATTTGTTTGCATTTACAGGGCGATCACCTTTGCTTCTTCGTTTCTTGTGATACATATTTGTTACCCGCATTCCCTTTTATTACTATTTTTATGACATCCCTTCTGTTGGGCGGCCTCTGTTTCTCGGGTCGGGACTCTGGTTTGGTCTGTTTTTGTTTTATTTTTGCTGCATGGAGGCGGTTCATGAAGTGTATACCCCCTTTTGGTTGTTGTTGTTGTTGTTGCGCGCAACGCTGTAGATACAGGTTCCAACCGACTGATCAGTGTGCTGATCCCTCAGAATATCCGAAATTCAAACAAATCCAAAATAACATATACAAAACAAAAGACTTGCTTATGTTCCTTGTAGATGAATTTCCTAAGCATCGAAGAGAAGAGAAAGACCAGGGTTTGAGGCAGAAGATACTACATACGTGGTCCCGGCTGATCTCCCGGCGCTTTGGTTGGCTTAGCCGAGCGCTAAGCGTCAGGCAAGCGAAAGCCAACGTCGACCACCGCAACCGTGTCTTATCTTCTTTCAAACCTCACCGCCAGCGCTCCAGCCTTCGCAAGCTTCACCCTCCATATCACCGATCTTCAGTACCAACCCGTCCGGACTGAATCGATCTCACCATGTGGATCATTAACTGGTGTACGTGCTGCTCCCGTTCCCTGTTTACCCGATCGGCCGCTTGTTTTTGACTAAGTCGATCTGCATACCCAAATGCAAAACTCCATTATACCTCCCCCCCTTGGGACAGGATCTCTTCTTGATCCCTTCCATTACCTGGACATCTTCTGCCTTGAGACACCGTCGATGGAAGGAATACAGTCGCTGATGGTCGCCTCCGCACAGTCTACGATGTCCTGGCCTCCCTCGGCCTGCTCAACAAGCACGCTAAGCTCCTCTTCCTCGGCCTTGACAATGCCGGAAAGACGACCCTTCTGCACATGTTGAAGGTGCGTACCTACCCCTGCACGTGCTCTCCGGTTCCCGCCACCGTATACCCAGGCGCAGTGTGATGGGGCCGCTCAATTGCGGCCCAGGAAATGAAAGACGGGGAGATCATATGCTAACGCGAGGGAAATATTAGAACGACCGGGTTGCCGTTCTCCAGCCTACCGCTCATCCGAGTATGTATCCTTGATTTGAAAATGACGTGGACGTGGCACGGGCCGATCTACTGGGGGACTAGAATTGGGTGGCAAATTGGTACAAAGGCTAACGAGGCACCAACAACAGCGTCGGAGGAGCTCGCTATTGGAAACAACCGCTTCACTACCTTTGACTTGGGTGGTCACCAGCAGGGTAAGTGGATCAGACACAGTTTACCATTCCTATCCCTCCCTCATGTCTACGCTCTATCCCCAACCAACTCGCCCCATACACCTTGGATTGGGCGAATCAACTTCTAACGACGTACCCCGAGTACAGCCCGTCGTCTCTGGAAGGACTACTTCCCCGAAGTGAGCGGTATCGTTTTCCTCGTTGACGCCAAGGACCACGAGCGTTTCCCCGAGTCCAAGGCCGAACTCGACGCCCTCCTCGCCATGGAGGAGCTCGCCAAGGTCCCCTTCCTCATTCTCGGCAACAAGATCGACCACCCCGACGCCGTCAGCGAGGACGAACTCCGACACCAGCTGGGACTCTACCAGACCACAGGAAAGGGCAAGGTGCCGCTCGAGGGCATCCGGCCGATCGAGGTCTTCATGTGCAGTGTTGTGATGAGACAGGGTGAGTCCTGCCAAGCCCCTCAGCCCCATCCCTAATCTATCCGTCACATCCCATGGAAAAACACCAAAACTAATCAATCGCAGGCTACGGCGAGGGTATCAGGTGGCTGTCTCAATACGTTTAAGCTTGAAAACCCCAAAAAAGTGCAGGCAAGCTTGAGCGGAAACATTTCCAAGGGGTAGGGGAAGGGAGTTCATGAGTAGATGGACTGGACGGAGTACTTCTTTCTATATTTGATATCTCGCACATCGTCTCTCCTGGTTTCGGTGGCATGTAATTGATTATGGTCAATCGTCAATCGATTTAGCTTGTTCGAATTAGCTATTTACTAGGTCTAATTTTTCTTTTTGCTCGGAGTACCACGTGAAAAACCTTAAGCGTTATATGCACACTGACTTGGGCCAGGCCAGAACTCTATCACAAGACTTTAGATCCTGAGAGGCCGTTGGCAGTTTTACATCATGACTATATGCAATGGTTCTCTGTACCCATGCATCAAGAACACGGGACTTGTATATTACCTTTGTAGATCTTAGACAACTCATTCAACGCACTACAGATACCTACCCTTCTACTAACGAAGTCTTTACCCGAATGAGAAAAGGGAAAGAAATCAACAAGTCCGATAATTATGCCTCTAAAATACAGTAATACATTGAATCGAACGAATTGATCCGAAAAAAAAACCTCCACCACCTCTGCACAGACGAGCCAGGAAGAGGAAAAAGGGAGAAGGGTAGCATAGACTGTTGTCGCATCAGTGTCGAGTTTCTTTTGCCGCTAGATGAAAAGAATCAATCGATAACATGGACTCATCATAAACATGACAAGGGATACATGATATGCTGAGATGATGGCATGTGGTGTTCGTTAAAGTCATCCAATCCATTCACGTTTCATGCACGGGGCCGCTTCACAAGACCCTCGGGGGATCCATTACGGGTCCACTGGGCGAAGGGTTATGGAGGGTGGAAGGGCAGGGTAAGCAAGGACGGCTATTGGAGTATGGGATGGATTTTGCAGTTCAAAGACATGGACATGTTGCTTATTTGGTTGGCATTACACTCACAGGAAGATTTTCAAAAAAGCGCAAACGGAAAACACCAGATGCAGCCCGTCGCTTCCCCTCCCTCAGTAAATGATTCGAACAAAACAAGAGTTAATGAAAAGGGAAAGTAAAAGGAAGAAGTGAAGATAAACAAGGAAATAGAAAGTAAAAGAAAAAAAAAATAAAAAAAAGGAATAAAAACACCGACCCTGACGGGAGCAGAAGTACCTTCCATATAAAGAGATAGGGAAAATAACATATTCAGCGCAAAGGAAAAGATATCACTCGGAGTCGCTGGAGGTGGTATGCGGGGGAGGAAATGACGCTCTGCATATCGTAAGGCTCTTTCGGGTGACCTGTTGTATCTGCTGCTTCCGACCGTCTAATGCACTGGCCATCGATGATGCGGGGGATCTGGATCCGGTCTCGTGTGGTGATGAGTGGGTGGGTATGTTGTGTTTATCTCCGTCCGAACCTGCTGCACATGGAAAAGCTCGTATGTCTTACTTCTTCTTTTGCTTTCGCGGAGGAGTGACGGGCCTGTTTGAGCTCATGCCCCCGTAAACGTACTTTTGTTTCTTTTCTGCTGGTTTCAAGATCTGCGCGGAACGGGTTAGCTTCCTGCATCGTCACATTGAATGGGGGCAACAGGAGTGGCAACATACTTGGAAGGAACAGAGTAGACTCTCGTCGACACTCATCATGGCACCAGCGTTGTCAAACTCTCCACAATAGTTGGGGGCACTGAAAAGCGTGACGAGTTGACGCTTGGAGAAGAACTCATAGCCATCTTCGACCACTTGGTGTGCACGGCAAATCAAATCCATATCATGTTTCTGGAGGAAACGGGAGACGACGTCGGGACCAAACGTGAATGAGACACCTCGGTCGTTTTCACTCCAGCCCGTGATGTCCTTGTCCGGATCGGACCACAGAAGATCGCACAGGAGACCGCAGTCAGGAATCTGTTCTCGTTAGCAGGCCAAGCCTTGAGCTTCAGGAGCCAGGCGAGAGGATTTGGATAGATTGGGAGAACCCATCGTGACACCTGGCTGAGCTGCACGAGGGCCGAGCAAAATCGCCCTCGAACAGACAACCAGGACGGGTGGGGGTGGGGTAACGGGGAGGCACTTACATCAGTGGGACGCATCACACGACGAATCTGCTCCATGGAGTTCAGATCGGGGCTCAGACCACCGTGCATGGTGAAGATCTTCTCGTCAATGATGGCCGCAATGGGGAGGCAGTTGAAGCAATCGGTGAAAGTCTTCCACAGCTTGATGTTATACCGCCGCTTACATTCATCGTAGAAGCCGTAGATACGGTTGATGGACGCGCATTCGTGGTTTCCACGAAGAACGAAGAAGTTTTCGGGGTACTTGATCTTGTAGGCCAGGAGTAGACAGATCGTCTCGAGCGACTGCTTGCCACGATCCACGTAATCTCCGAGGAACAGGTAGTTGGCCTCGGGCGGGAATCCACCGTATTCGAACAGACGCAGAAGATCGTAGTATTGGCCGTGAATATCACCGCAGATCTGATCGCGCCAGCGTGTTAGCCGTCAGGGACAATGCCATTGTTACCCGAGATTCCGGCTCAGGAGACAGGGCCGCGGCGTTACCTTGATTGGCGCTTCCAACTCTAGCAGGATGGGTTGCGAGATGAAAATTTCCCGAGCCTTGGTGCAGAGATAGCGAATCTCCGATTCCAACAACTGGACCTGCTTGCCCGGGCGGCTACCCCTCACTTCCAACAATCTATCAATGATCGAATCCAAATCCACTTCCTGATCAGCCATGGCGACGGGGCTCTAACGAGAGACGACGGGAGCGAAAGAAAAAAAAAAACAAAGAGTAGACAATGCACACAACCGTAGGCAACGACGGCAAGAAAGAAAAGGGAAAAAAAAAGGAAAGAAAAGGAAGGATAAAGGGTAGTTCGCGAAGCGCTAGTTACGATGACGCGGCGTCTATACTGTGATAACCATACGATTAGCATCGCTCTCCCGTCATGACGGATAGAAAATTTCGATAACTCTGGTCAGGGCCCGGCGAAAAACGCGTGAACAATGCGCTCGGGAGATTTCTTGCTCGTCGTGGTTGAGACAGCGAGCGATGAAAGAGGGGTGGAGCGCTTACCAAACGAATCTAAAGGGAACAAGAAGATAGGGAAACGAAAACAGGCCGAATGGCCTCGTACAATGGGGAAATCTGGCGAGGAGCCAGACGAGGTGTGAATATCAAACACTCCCCTTCAGATCGTAGATGACGCGCGGTGAGAGCGAGGTGATGCGAATTCCGGGAGATGAGACGAAGCCTCAAAGATGGTGGAGCAACACGGAAAAAATAAAGAAGTTGACCAAGAGTCTTTGGCGGAAAACTCGACGGGGCTATTCTTTTTCCCTTTTGGGAGAAATGAAATGGGATGGAATGGCCGAAAAACCGTACAGATTTCGGAGGGTTGAGATGGGAAAGCTTGCTCGAAAAGCGAAAGCGATCTGGTGGTGGCGTGAAGGGGTTGTTGTGGAAGGGATTTGTTGAGAGAGCGAGAGCGAAAAGCGTCGGCAATCAAGGGATCTTTTTCCTGTTCCGCTCGGACGGCTGAAAAATTTTGATAATTCGGCCTAGATTGGGGACCTGTTTGGGCAGCAGACTGAGAATGAGAACTTTTCCTTTTGCTTTTTTTTCTTCTTTTCCTTGTGTTGAAATCTTGAAGACGAGCGAGGAAGAGGGAGCGAGAGAGAGGGAAGAGGAGAAGGACGAGGAGGAGTGAGTGAGTGAGTGACCAGGGTCGAGACGGGGCAGGAGATCAAAGGGCAGCAGAGGAACTCACCAGCTTGACCAGTGAGAGGGAGAAAAGGAACGAGTTGGTCAACCTGAGAGAAAAAAAGGTTTCCTTCAACCGCTTCGCCGCCCGGCCATCGCCGCCCGCTCATTGGTCCCGCGTCGGTTTGGGAAGAATGTATTCCTCTCCACCTCCATGCATTCATTCATTCATTCAACTTCATCTTCCAACTTCAATTCTTTCATCCTTCATACGAACTAAAACTGGACAATCATGACGACGGGATTCCCTTCTCTTCTTCCCCCCCAGCCATATTCAGACAAGATTCCTTCCACTCGACACGGAATATGTGTGATCAATGCCTCCTCCGATCTGATCCCCGTCTGATCGTCGTCTATCGCCACCCTCCGATCGCGCGCAGTCTTGTCTTTTCCCCCCTCACCAGTAGGAGAAAACATGCAATCCGAGCCATGCCCGCCCATCAAATCACATTTTCTCCGGTCAGTAGATGTTGTGCATAAAGCACTTACACGCCTTAGTCGCCTAGCATTTCTTATCCCAACGACACTGATACGCCTACGCGGAATCTATGACGCAGTGCATCCTCGTCAACGCCCAACGCGCTTTTGCATTCAATCACTACTGCTAGTATTGGATTCACGGAGAGACTGGTTCACTCTCAGCTCTCTCGCGCGCGCGCAAAATAACTCGTCGCACATTCTTCTTTTCATGTCTCATGCATTAGATCCGAACTTCATCACTGCTCTGCGTAACTCCGAAACTCGAGCAGGGGGTAATTTGGGATGATAGGAGAAGGAAACAACAGATAAGAGGTATACATCAAGCAATTCAACACAACGGCATCTCAACAGGTGTCAGTCGAGCCCTCTCAGTCAATCATTAGAGAGGATGAAGAATAGAAGAAGAGTTAAAAGAGGCGAAGAAAAAAAAAAAAAAGATCAGGAAATCATCAAAAGGCTGGATAAAAAAAAAAAGGACACAAAAATCTTCAGAAACGCCTGTGAACACCGTAAACCCTTCACCAAATACAATAATACATGCGGTCTAGAGACGGTGAATCTCGTGAATAAAGTGCCTCCCATAACATGGACCAGCCTGAAACGGTCGAATGCAAGGTGTACGGTAGATAGGAGAGTTGGGAGAGGGTAACAATATCGTAGTCGTAAAAAGCAGAAATGTTCAGACATCCGGCCCGCTATCTCGAAAGGCCATAGAACGCCACCAAATGCACTCAGTGGCCAACTGCCACTGCCACAAGTAGGAAATGTGACGGGGATGATTATAATAGTCAAAAGAAATTGATCGGCGAAAGGAACCAGGTAAACGAGTCAACTCGAACGACTTTTTGTGCTGCTTGGTGCTACACCAACCAGTAGATACGGATGGGCAACTCAGGGTCGGCCTCCGCTCAGAATGGGCAGATTGTTTGCCCGGGTGAGTGCCTCCGCTGGGATGATTGCTGTATCCCCAAGGTTCACACCCGTGCGAGGAACGTTGATGTCCCGCGGTGGCTGATCCCAGCCACGGTCTCCCAGCGCATGGAGCCAGGTGTTGCCGACGTCGTGCTTCAGAGCCTCCAGTTGCCGCCGGTAGAACTTTCCATCCACGTTCCAGTCCAAGTCCTGGACTGCCCGAGGTATGAAAGACTCGTTCATCGGCTGGCTGGAGACGCCTGGATCACTGTCGACCTTTTCTGGGCTTTGAACTTTCGCAGATCCGACCTGAGGTCCACCATCAGATCTCCGTTGACGGTCGGAAGACGGTGTCACAAATGGATCAACGGGTAATTGGATATGCTCAACAGGAAGGACAG